GGAGAGGGCCACTCGGCTGGGGAGGGGTAAGAACGGATCAAGTTGTTCCAATGTCCCCAAGGGCTTTAGTCATGTTCCCCTTCGGTGGCCATTTCAGTGTTGCCTGAAGTGTCCGTAAGGGGAGGGGGGCGTGAGGGAGATGCTCTCATAGTCAGAGCAGCCTATGCGTGCTTCTGTTTCTTTTCTTTGGTTAAATCACATTCCGTTTTCTCCAGCCCTTCCTAAAGGGACCGGCTTTTCACAATAGGCATAGAGTCCCGTCTCCCTTGTCTGAGAGTGAGCCTCGGGGAGGTCTCTGACTGCTTGATTGTTAGGGCTGTAAGTTCATGATTTTGGCAAGTTTGTCTTTTTCATTTCTTTCTTTCTTTCTTTCTTTTTTTTAAAAAAATATATTTTATTGATTTCTTACAGAGAGAAAGGGAGATAATTAGAAACATCGATGAGAGAGAAACATCGATCATCTGCCTCATGTACACCCACCACTGGGGATGTGCCCACAACCAAGGCACACGCCCCTGACTGGAATCGAACCTGGGACCCCTCAGTCCACACTATCCATTGAGCCACACCCAGTTTTGGCAACTTCGTCTTTTCTCTTTTGAATGGTTTCAGAGGGAGGTCACCTCAGCAGCATGTTAGTCAGAGCTGTAAGCTCTCCATCGCATCTTCCCTAAAATGCCAAATTCAGTAGGCGATCATTTTGATGATCCTTAAAACGGCCCAGAGGTAGATCTCAATCTTGATTTAACTTTTTTTTTTTTTTTTTTTTTAATCTTTAAAGAAATCAAGTGCTGGTTCATCAGGCGTTTCTATCTTGGTTCAATCCACTTTCAGGGGGCAGGGGGAGCCTCAGGTCTGGCTGGTAAAGGTGGTGGGATCATTCCGTGCATTTTTCTGGTCTGCCTCTCTCTGTTCCCAGAGAACCTTGTGCCCATTCTCCTGCTCTTTTGTTAGAACCCAGCATGTGTGTTCACCGGTCCAGGTCAGAACAGCCAGGATCGGCCCTCGCTGGTTTGGCTCAATGAATAGAGTGTCAGCCTATGGGCTGAAAGGTCCCAGGTTCAATTCCAATCAAGGGCACATACCTGGGTTGTGGGCTTGATCCCCAGCAGGGGGCATGCAGGAGGCAGCCAATCAATGATTCTCTCTCATCACTGATGTTCCTCTCTCCCTCTCCCTTCCTCTAGGAAATCAATAAAAAATATAATTAAGGGGGGGGGGGGAGAAAGAACAGCCAGGATCGTCTATCTTAACAGTTAAATGAGATTCCTTTGCAAACCCGTCGGGGTCATGGAGGGTTCGGGGAGGTCATTCGATTCCTTCGTTCTGTTCTGGTCCAAGGGACACTGTTTGGCTCCCTCTGTCTGAGAGGGCGCTGCCAGAGTCCTTTTTGTTCTTACTAGCTGATCCCGGTCTGCTTTTCTATTCTGAGTGTCCCCCAGGTCAGTAGGGGGCTGCAGTGGCAGAGGTGAGGAAGAGAGAGAGGGAGAGAGAGAGAGAGGTGTGCAAGAGGCAGCCGATCCATGATTCTCTCTCATGGTGGATGTTTCTCTCGCTCTCGCCCTCTCCCTTCCTCTCTGAAATCAATGCAAATATCTATGTTTTTAAATCCAGCCTAAGAATGAGTCTTATAAGAGTTTATTTGGGCCAAACTTGAGGATCATTATGTGAGAGAGAGGGGGAAAAAAATCTCGATGGTTCAAGAAAATGCTCCAGAAAATGGCACTTTGCAGCTTGTTCTAGACACTAGAATCGAAGCTGGAGACACAGGAGGGTTACAGGAAGTCCATCGGTGGTAGATTAAGGAGCCAGGGGAAGCAAAGTGGGGAAATCTCTGGGATTGAATAAAAAGTAAAATGGCCCAAACCAGTGTGGATCAGTGGATAGAACATCAGCCTGCGAACTGAAAGGTCCCAGGTTTGATTCCGGTCAAGGGCATGTACCTTGGTTGCAGGCACATCCCCAGTAGGGGGTGTGCAGAAGGAAGCTGGTCCGTGTTTCTCTCTCATCGATGTTTCTCTCTGTCCCTCTCCCTTCCTCTCTGTCAAAAATCAATAATATATATATATATATATATATATATATATTTAAAAATCAATAAAGTATATTTTTAAATAAAATAAAATAAAAAGTAACATGGAGAGACATCTACATCGGTGGGTACGGGGGCGTTAACAATGAGCATGTGCAGCACATAAGATGGGAACAAGACAACGATGGGTTCTGTGGTCTGTGCTCTGGCCCGTGCACCCTGAGGTGAGGGTCTGAAAACGGATATTGCTCTAACATTTCAAAGGGGGTTATCTTAGGCGTATAAAGGTCAGTAGACTCACTCAAGATAAAAACTGACTTATGTCCGGGGAGTTATGGTGTCGGATGTGACTACCCACCCTGACCCACTTCTAACTCAAGTTAGCGATCTTTCTGTTCAGACCATCCTATGTGGTAACTTTTTAAAAATACATATATATATTTTATTTTTTAATTTATTTTATTATTTTCATTATTATTATTATTATTTTTTACAGAGATGAAGGGAGAGGGATAAAGAGCTAGAAACATCAATGAGAAACATCAATCAGTTGCCTCCTGCACACCCCCCACAGGGGATGTGCCCACAACCAAAGTACATGCCCTTGACCGGAATCGAACCTGAGACCCTTCAGTCCGCAGGCTGAAGGCTCTATCCACTGAGCCAAACTGGGTTTGGCAACTTTTGGTCTCCGAGTGTGTAAGGCCCACCACGCAGGCCGCCCTCATGCTGCCTGGTTTGGGATATGGCTCCCTTCCATCCACAGGGGCCAGTGATGTCAATGAGCAGAAGCGAGCTGAGTCACAGGCAAGACGATAGAGAACGGTGGGGACTGCGGCAAACCAAAGTGCTCGCCTCACGGAAAGGGCGCGGCCGCTGTTTAGCGTTGCCTAATCGTTGCCATATTGCTGCCATGTGGACAGGGGCACCCGGGGTTGCCAGACCTTTGGGAATTCCTGTGATGAAACCAGAAAGCCCTAAGCTTGCTTGAAGCTTCCCAAGTTTCAAAATGCTGTTCGGGCTGGATTCAGCCCACAGGCCACGAGTGTGCAGGCCCCACGTCAGTGAGACAACATTTTCCGTCCTCACTCCCAGCTCCGGCCTCTCCAACTTGGCTGGCTCTCCGGAGGCCATGACAGGAGCCAATAGGGGCCCAGCCAGGAGGCAACCCCCCTCCCCACTGACCTCAGGCTCACCCTCCCCCAACGCCAAGGCTTCGCCCCGGGTCAGGCCGATGGGCCCCGCGCCCTTCTGCAGGGCAGAGGCCTTCCCAAGGGCCTCCATACAGGCGGGCTTCTGGCGGGCCGGCGGGCCATGCCTGCCAGACTATCCTGGACCAGTTTTAAACCCGCTCAGATCCGGGCTGCAGCGGTGTTTTCGGTTCTTAAGACAAAGACCAGACCCATTACCATGACACCCCCCCTTCCCGCCCCCCAGGCCCTCACAGGCAGACCACCGCTGACCCTTTGAGCCCCTAACTTCCCTCCTCAAATGGGCCTGGCTCATCACTCTGCCCCCTACCTTTCTCAGATGCAGAGAACGTTCTCCTTCGGGCATCTTCCCGGTGGTGCCCTAGAAGGTGCCCGAAACTTCTGTGCTGCCCCTCCACCCAGGCCCACCCCATGAACACTCCTCTGTCCTGGGCTCCTCAGGCCGCGGCTCAGAAGTCACTTCCCTCGGGAAGCCTCCCGGGCCCATCTGAGCTGGTGTAGAGGCCGCGGCCAGGTGTCCCCCATCACAGCCTCGCACCCAATGAATGCTCTCTACGGAGAGCTGGAGGGGACATGGGTCCGCACTTGTGTTCCCAAGGGTATATCTAGCACCTAGCATTATGCCCGGGGCCTAGGAAATGCTTATATGTTTGCAGAAGAAAAATGGAAAAGAGGGAAGGAAGGAAGAAAGGACCCTTCCCTGTATCTGTTGCATATCTTTTTTTTTTTTTAAATATATTTTATTGATTTTTCACACAGAGGAAGGGGGAGGGATAGAGAGTCAGAAACATCGACCAGCTGCCTCCTCCACACCCCCCACTGGAGATGTGCCTGCAACCAAGGTCCATGCCCTTGACGGGAATCGAACCTGGGACCCCTCAGTCCACAGGCCGACGCTCTATCTTCCCGAGCCACACCGGTTTTGGCGTGGTGTTGCATCTCTCTCTTCCCCCCCCCCCCCCCCATTCTGACCATCTCTCTCTATTTCCAACTTAAACATCTGCAGCCTGTCCTGTCTCATCATGTGCAATGCAGCTGATGTGTTTCTGACCCTGCCCCCCCCCTCGCTGACCCCTGTCGCCGGGAGTGCAGGCAGGCCCGCGTCCCTCCCCCGCAGAACCGTCCCTCCCCCGCAGAACCGCTGCTCTCTGACCTCAGACCCTGCAGAGGCACACCAGATGTTCCCCGCAGGGGGTCCCCTGGGCTCCGGGCCCAGATTCGGGGGAAGAAGGGGAAGTAAGGTCGAGAACTGATGGTGCAAGACGAGGCCTGGAGCAGCACGCTGCAGGCGGCGGGAGGAAAAACAGGCTGAGGAAGAAACAGAGGAGCAAAGAGCGAGCGGGGCGAACGGGGCAGCGAGGGGCGGGCCCGAACACGCCGCCCCATCCCCCCCTCCACCGCCAGCTACCTCCCCGCACTGCCAACGCCCTCCCAGCCCAGCCGGCCACATCTGGCGGCGGCCCTCCCTTGTTTCCGCTGCATCCAGACTTCCCCCTGGGGTGGCTGGAGGCCGCGCATCTGGGGCTTTAAACATACAAAGGGCCGGCGGCACAGGCAGCAGCGGCGCAGGCGGAGGCGCAGGGACCAGCCGGGCCACCGAGCCGGGCGAGCTGTCCCCTCGGAGCGCAGCGCTGAGCGGCGGATCGGGGCCAGCCAGGCGGCCACACACCTCGAACCCGAACCCGAACCCGAACCCGAACCAGAACCAGAACCAGCGACCTCCGGGGCGACCTTGCACGGGGCCCGGGAGCGCGGGGATGGAGACGCTCGTGGCGCGGGGCGCGCTGCGGGCGCTCTGCGTGCTGGGCTGCCTGGTGGGCCCCCTCGCCGCCGCGCCCTCGCCCATCATCAAGTTCCCGGGGGATGTCGCCCCCAAGTCGGACAAAGAGATGGCCGTGGTGAGTGGCTCCGCGGGCCTCCAGGAGCGGAGTTTAAACAAACTTTGCAGGCGAGGTTGGGGAGGGTTGGGGTGAGGGGGGTGGGGGGCTCCCGGCTGCACCCCCTCCTCCCCCGAGGGGCACACACCGTGAGGGAGGGGCTTCCGCCAGCCGCCCGGCGGGCGTCCCGAGCCAGCCGGAGGTGGGTCTGTTTTGGAAACCGGAGGGGGGCTTTCTGTGCCCCGCGAAAGCCTTGGATAAACAACTTGGAGATTTCCCGGACGCAACGGGGGGCATGAGACGCGGAGGGGAGGGGGGCCCGGGGGTGCTTGGCCGCCGGCAGGAAAGGAGGGCTCTTCTGTAAATAATGGGGCATTGTCTGGGATCTGAGGATCTGGCCAAGGGGCGGCTTTGTCAACAACTTCTGCACACATCTGTGGGGAGGGGGCCCGGCTGGCCCTGGGCTAGCGTCCTGGTAAGGCCTTTGGCAAAAGGGGAGAGAAGGGGGGTGTTTTTTTTTAAGCCCCATGGCACGCGATGTGGGTAAACTCTTGCACCCATTGGGAGCTTCACGCCCAGCGGGGCTTGGCTAACCTTGGGGACCTTTGGCACACATCTGGAGAGGGGCCCTGGGCGCACCGCTCCAGGGGACCTTGGGGCAAATATTAGGGGCGGGGGTGCCGTCGAGAGCGCATCTTCTTCTCCAGAAGGGTCAAGGGTTGGATCTTGGAAAGGTTCCTCGAATTTCTGCAACTTCTGCAAAGGGATGGGGGCGGGGGCCGCGGGCCGCTGGCAGGAGAGAGGCGGCCCGCGGGTCGGAGGGAGGGAGGGAGGGGCAGGCGCTGGAGGCCTGGCGCGTGGGGCGGGGGCAGAGGCGCCCAGCGGGTGGGAGAGCAGCCAGCCAGCCCTCCCTCCTGGCCCGGCTTCCAGCGGCGGCTCCGACGGATGTGGATGTTGTCCTGTGATTGCCGGCGTGCCTGCCGGGCACAGTGGAAGGGCACCATCCCTCAGCCTGTTAGCGCCTGGAGCTGGGGGGCCCCTCCAGATGTCCCTTCTCGCCCATAAGAAATGTGAAATCTTATTGCTCCCCGCCCCCAAGAAACCCCCCATTCTTCAGCCTGGTCCCCAGCCCGCTGGTCACCCTGAGAACCCTTCTCAGCTTGTAACATCCTTCCCTCCTTCCCAGCATCCAAGCTTCTGTCCCCTTTGGATAAATGGGTTGGGACAGTTTACATTTTTAGGGGCTGATATTCTTTAAAAAAAAAAAAAAAAAAAAAAAAAAAAAAATATATATATATATATATATATATATATATATATATATATATATATATATATTGATTTCAGAAAGACAGGGAGAGGGGAAGAGAGAGAGAAACAATGATGAGAGAGAATCCTTGATCAGCTGCCTCCTGCACACCCCCCATTGGGGACCACGCCCCCCCACTGGGGATCAAGCCCCCCAGATATGTCCCTTGACTGAGAATCGAGCCCTGACCTCCGGGTTCATAGGTCGATGCTCAATCACAGAGCCACGCCGGCCAGGCAGGGGGCTGCTATTCTTCCTCCTGGGTCTGGAGCTGGCTGGCATCATGATGTGGCTTTTGGTTAGGGGTGAGGGTGGGGCTTTGGAGCCTTGGCAGAGCGGCCCGGGTGCCCACACCTTCCACGGAGCATAAGGGAGCCGTCCGGGCTGCCCAGAGGCAGCGCAGTGGGAGGCTTGAGAAGCAGGCGCTGGGCTTGGGCTGCCTGGCTTCCGATCCCAGGTGCAGGAGCCAGCTGGCCTCGTAAGCCTGGCAAATGACCACCCCTCTCAGTGCCAGCTTCTTCCACAAACTGAGGGTAAATCTGGTGCCTGTTAAAGCTAATCTTACTCTCAAGTGGCACATGGTAAGCTCTCAGTGTTAGTCGTCATCATTAATTATTATTATTATTATTACTAGAGGCCAGGTGCATGAATTTGTGCACAGGTAGGGTTCCTAGGCCTGGCCAGCAATGAGGGCTGATTGGGGCCTATTGGGGCCTTCTGGTTGCCAGCCGGGGATGTCCTTCGTGCCACGCTGCCCCCCTGGTGGTCAACACATGTCATAGCGAGTGATCAAACTCCTGGTCTCTGGTCCAACTCCCAAGGGGACATTTTGCCTATTAGCCTTTTATATAAAGAGATTATACCCCGCATTTTCCTTTCCTAACTACTCCTCCAAACATGGCGAGGGCCCCTGTCGTAAGGTCTGGCTGCTTTCACCTTTCCAACAGTGCCCATCACATGTAATTTTGCGTTTATTTCTGTCGCGCCCTGGCCAACAGAAATAAATGAAGGAGATGACGGAGGCAAAGAGGGGTCGTGAGTAACAGTTCTGCGTGTGGCTCTGGTTCCAGACAGTTCGGGTCCGAATCCAGCTCCGCCTTTTGTGAGCTGTGTGACCTGAGGAACGTGTCTTCACCTCTCTGTGCGTTAGTCTCTTCCTCTGTATGATGGGGAGAGCAACCACAACCACATCATGGAGCTGCTGTGAGCATGAGGGCTCCATGCTGACGTCACGCTCTCGACAGCTATGACATCACTCAAGCGCATGGGCGTCCATGTTGGGGTTTGGGAACCCAGCAGCCCACCCAGTGCCCGTGGACCCCCGGATGATGATGTCCTCCTTCCCGTTCTGGGCTGGGCGGGGGCGGGTGGCCAGGACGATGCCGCCCCCCTGTGGCCGCTCACCTCCAGCGCTCCTTTCTCCCAGCAATACCTGAACAGCTACTACGGCTGCCCCAAGGACAAGTGCAACCTGATCGGGCTGAAGGACTCGCTGAAGAAGATGCAGAAGTTCTTCGGGCTGCCCGAGACGGGGAACCTCGACAAGCGCACCCTCGCCACCATGAAGAAGCCTCGCTGCGGCAACCCCGACGTGGCCAACTACAACTTCTTCCCCCGCAAGCCCAAGTGGGAGAAGAACGAGGTCACGTACAGGTACGGAGGCGGGGCTGCGGCCGCGGGACACGGGGTCTCCTCGGGCCCATCGCCCCGCTCCAGGGACCCCGTTGGGGGTCCTAGGAGGACTCGGAGTCTTAGGGCGTTTGCATGCAGAGTGCTTAGGAGCTGGCGTCAGACAGACCTGGACTCGACTCTCACACTTAGTAGGCATGAGGCATCGGGCTACTTAGGTTTCAATGTCCCCGGGCCTTGTTGGCTTTCCAACCTACAGAATGGGGCTAACACAAAATCTTCCTCGTAAGTTGGTTGGGAACTGAGCTGGGTCCCCTCTGAGAAGGGATTTCTCCATGTCCGGTGTGTGGTAACCATGTAATCACTGCCAGGGGCGGCTCCTCCTGGCTGGGGGCTTAGGGGCAGGTGGAGAGACGGTGGTATTGGTTGCTAATTGGTTATAGGATGGAGTGATCGGTGGTCAATTGGGGGTGACCCTCTTCGGAGGCCTGTTTAACGTTGGCCTCTGCTCTGTACGGCTCGTGCTGGATTCCAGGATGAGAGAGAGCTTGGCCCCCTGTCCCGTGTGCACTGGTTTTACCCCATGCGTCCCCCAGCCAGAAGGGGCGGGTGAGAGTCCTGAGACAAGGCCTGAGGATGTTGGCTGGCCTAGGAGGCAAGGCATTCTGGGCGCACTGTTCTCACAGGGAGCTCTGCTCACCACACACACACACACACACACACACACACACGTATACCTGTCTGTGTGTGCACACCTGCACGTTCTTGTGCACACACAAACGCATGTACCCCGCCGAGGCTGAGGCACACTCTCACACTTGCGCCCATGCACCACTCTTGCACACATCCATGCACAGGTTTACATACGCTCTTGCACACATGCACACACACTCTGCACACATGCACACACACTCTGCACACATGCACACACACTCGGGTGTGTGTGCCTGCTCACTCCTTTGCATCTCTCCCGAACCTCCAGGATCATCGGCTACACGCCTGACCTTGACCCCGAGACGGTGGATGATGCCTTCGCCCGTGCCTTCCAAGTCTGGAGTAACGTGACGCCCCTCCGCTTTTCCCGTATCCACGATGGAGACGCCGACATCATGATCAACTTCGGCCGCTGGGGTAGGCAGCAGTGGGGCCAGCAGGGGCTCAGCGTGGAGAGGGAGGGGATCCAGCGATCGGAGAGGCAGGCACCGGGGTCCTGAGAGCAGCTGAGATGGAGAGGAGAGGAGAAGGGGTGGACGCCGAGGGGCGTAGCTGGGACCAGACGCTGGAGAGCCACGTGGATGTGAGGCAGGCAAGGGGTCTTCCCGCGCCGTCCCATACAGCAGCTCCGACAGGCGAAGGGCTGGTCACGTGTCCAGTAGTTTCAACGCAGTCAGAGCCAGGTCCCGTGTCTCGGTCACACTGGCCACATGTCAGATGCTCCGTAGCCACAGGGGGCCCGTCGGGGATGAGCCGCACCAAGCGTGTTCCCGCCATCGCAGGAAGTTCTGCTGGGTAGCACGGGTCCGCCCTGAGGGACTCAGGGCCTGGGAGGAGGGCGGAAAGAACGGAGCGGTGTGGACAGGAGAGTGAGTGGGCACCCACCTGTGGCCACGGGCACCGTGTGGGAGGGTGGCGTGAACAGAGGCAGCAGTGTAGACATAAAGGTAGGCAGTTTAGACATTGTGAGGAGCGTGGTGATGCGGGTGGGTGGTATGGACCTGGGTGGCCACGTAGGCCCGGGGCTCAGAGGTGGGACTATCGGTGATAGACTTGACCATGGAGACCTCAGGGTGCTGACCACCCCGTCAGCACCTATCTGTTGACTTGCTGTGTCCCAGTCTTGGATAACCCCAACAGGATAGGGGAGGGGACACGTGCCAGGTGGGCGCGGGTGTGGCTGGGGGTCAGGGCTTAGGGTGGGGGCGGGGAGCAGCTGGAAGCTGAGACCCCATGTGTTCCAGAGCACGGAGATGGATACCCCTTCGATGGCAAGGACGGGCTCCTGGCTCACGCCTTCGCCCCGGGGCCCGGGGTCGGAGGAGACTCCCACTTTGACGACGATGAGCTGTGGAGCCTCGGAGAAGGACAAGGTAAGCAAGGGACTGCCCCCATGTCCCAGCATCCTCTCTGGTCCTCTGCCTGCCTCCCCGTCACCTAGCAACAAGGACCATCCCTTCTCCCACAACCCTGGGCGCCTCATGGACTCTGACGGGAGGGGGAGGGGAGTCACACGGGCTTCTGGTCTCTGGAGAAGGGCCCCGAGAGGCTCACCCCACCCTGTGTCACCGCCCACCCCCTCCCCCCCTCCAGTGGTCCGAGCAAAGTACGGGACCGCCAACGGGGAGTACTGCAAGTTCCCCTTCCTGTTCAACGGCAAGGAGTACAACAGCTGCACCGACGCAGGCCGCACGGACGGCTTCCTCTGGTGCTCCACCACCTACAACTTCGACAAGGACAACAAATACGGCTTCTGCCCCCACGAATGTGAGTCCTCAGGCCCCGGGTTCCCCGTGGTTCCCCGTCATCCGCGCTGCCCAGGCCCCCGGCCCGGCCAGGCAGCCAACGTCCTCCAACCCCCCGGACACCCTCCTGGCCCTGTCACTTGCATAATTCATTATTCACTTAATGCTTTCAGCAAGTCCGTTCCTTTTTATGTCTCCCCGTGAGCAACCGTACTTGCAAAGTCAGGTTTGATGTGCTAGTTATTTTTTTTTTTTCTTGCACACCTTAGGATGGACTTAGGACTGTTCGTGTGCCCAGTGGTTCTCTCTAGAACCACTCTGTAACCACCACCCCTCCCCCCGAGGGGCAGGATTGGGGGCTCGGGCACCGGAGAGAGAGGCTCAGGGATGGATGAGAAGTCTAGCAATGGGGGTGGGGACCGAGACTCAGACACTGAGGCTGGTACCCAACCTGGCTGGGGGACACTGACCCCTGGCATTTCAGCCGTTATTCCTGGTTTTGATGCCAGCTTCACTAGTGTGTGTGTGTGTGTGTGTGTGTGTGTGTATGGGGACTGTACCATCTGCCTCTCGGTCTCTTGTCTATTTTTGCTTGTGTCTACCTCTCTGTGTCTTGACCCAGTATTTGTGTGTGTTTGTCAGTGCCCAACACATACCATGCTCAGAGATTGTGAAGCCATATCGAGGGGAACATGTTTTGGGGTCAGGGTATGGACCTACCAATCCTTTTTAAAAAAAAACACCCCTGGCACACTTTTTCATCAGAAACCTGAGAATGATAGTACGTAATACCTTCATCCTCTGTCAAGTCATCCTACCCGACGATTCTGGAGATCGAAAGCCAGAAAAATGGGAGAAAACCTGAGCATTTTTCTAAATACTTCTTTCTCCCTCAACCCCGCAGACTCCTTGATCCGTACATGCCTTTGTCTTTTTGACTGTACCGCTGCATGTTTGTGAACCCGTCCGACACCATGGCAACTGAATACTGACGACCCCCACCCCCAGCCATGTTGACACAGGGTTCGGTTTATGCTTTTGGTACCAGAGCCCATGCAATACCTAGTGTATTAAGTAAGAGATGGAGCCATTAATAAATCAGAAATGTTCCATGGAAGTTTGCTCCAATGCTGCGTGCCCCCTCCCATGCACCAAGCCTGGCGATGAGCAAAGAATTTTGCCTTGATGCTCGGAGCGAAAACAGCTGTAACTCATACGTTTGGGCATTAGCCAGATGCTAGGACGCACAGCACGCACGTGTTTGCATCTGGGGGCAGATGTTGTGTTACTCAGCCCCTGCTGACTGCTGAGTCAGTGTCTGTTTCTCTTCATCCTCGTTCGAGGTCAGGATCTGAGAGGAGATCGGGGCTTCCTGGGCGGTAGACACGCAGCCGATGGGGAGTCAGGGGCGGGGCCGTTAACTCTTTGCCTTTCCACCAGGCATCTGGCCTCAGGGTGGCCTCTTCTCTTATCCCATTGCTGCTGGCCTTGCAAGAGAAAACCTCTCTCTTTCTCTCTCTCTCTCTCTCTAATATGTTTTTATTATTTCAGAGAGGAAGGGAGAGGGAGAGATAGATTCCATAATCAAAGGGAATTGTCCATCGGCTGCCTCCTGCACGCCCCCCACCAGGGATTGAGCCCCAAACCCAGGCATGTGTCCTGACCAGGAATCGAACCGGGGACCTCCCAGTTTATAACTCAACCACTGAGCCACACAGAGCCGGGCAGGTCTCTCGATTGGGGGAAAGGAAGCAGCGAGGATACGGGCCTGAGGCCCACGACGGGGCTCCCTCCTGGTCGTGGTGGAGTTAACGAACCAGCTGCTGAGGTCACCGCTGGCGTGGCGGCACGCAGATGGTCCTCGTTACGCGCCTGCGGTTTTGCTTGCTGGCGGCTCCAGAGGTGCACCATTGTGTAGCTCTGGGGCGGGGGAGGCCACGGGCCACGGGGGGAGAGCCCGAGACAGATAAGCCCCGGCACGGAATCCCATCCTCTGCCCCCAGTTCTCAGGCCTGGCCCCTGACTCAGGGAGGTCCGTGTGGACCAGAGCTTTCCAAAGACTCTCTCCCTCCCGCTCCCTCCTCCTCCTGCCTCCTGCAGGGACCGCAGAAAACCGCCTGGGGTGAAAGGAGGTGAAGCCTGGTGTGTGTGTGTGTGTGTGTGGGGGGGTGTTGAGCAAGAGAGAGATGGACATTCGCCCTGCTGACCACAGATGATGTACTTAGTGACCCACGTGGTGTGGGCATCGGCCAGGCAGGCGGACAGGGACCGTGGGACTCTAGCAGGCTTCCCGGGGGCTCCCTGCTGTGCGCCCCGAGTTCACCGAGAGGGTGAGGGTCCACCAGGGCCCAGGGGAGGCTGGGGCAGACCAGGAAGCCAGGGGCGGTCCCCGGAACCTCGGAGAAGCAGCTGCGTACCAACTGGTATTGGCAATTTTTTTTCTTCTTTAGTCATCAGCCAAGGATATTTTTCCGTGGATTTTCAGAGAGAGTGGAAGAGAGAAGGAAAGAGAGAGAAACATCGATGTGAGAGAAACACATCAATTGGTTGGGCCCCCGGGCCAGGGAGAAGCCTGCAACTGAGGTACGTGCCCTTGACGGGAACGAAACCTGGGACCCTTAGGTCTGCAGGCCGACATTCTGCCCACTGTGCCAGACTGGCCAGGGTGATTTTTTCAAAAAAATATATATTTTATTGATTTTTTACAGAGAGGAAGAGAGAGGGATAGAGAGTAAGAAACAATAAGAGAGAAACATCGACCAGCTGCCTCTTGCACACCCCCTACTGGGGATGTGCCCACAGCCAAGGTCCATGCCCTTGACCGGAATCCAACCCGGAATCCAATCCACAGACCGACGCTCTACCCACTGAGCCACACCGGTTTGGGCCTAGGGTGATTTTTAATATTTGAACGCTGTCTCCTCCCTGGGGAAGCCAGCTCTGTGTCCACACAGGGGCCCGGCTGAGTTCCCGGTGCCCGGTGGGTGGCCTCTCTCACACGTGCCCCCTCCCTCCCTCTCTCCCCGCCCCCCAGCCCTGTTCACCATGGGCGGCAACGGCGACGGCAAGCCCTGCACGTTCCCGTTCAGCTTCCAGGGCAACAGCTACAACAGCTGCACCACCGAGGGCCGCAGCGACGGCTACCGCTGGTGCAGCACCACCGAGGACTACGACCGTGACAAGAAGTACGGCTTCTGCCCGGAGACCGGTGGGTGCCCCCTCCCCGCCCCCTCACCCCGCCCCCCCCGCCTCTCCCCGCTCCTCCCCGCCTCCCCCAGAACACGCACGGGACCCCAGCCCCCTTTCCCCAGGACGGGGCTCTGCCCGAGTACTTAGCAGCCAGATGCTGGGACCCATCGCCACTTCAGCCCTATCAGTGCCTCCTGGCGTCGGGCCCGCCAGGGACCCCCTCTGCGTGGCCCACACGCTCTCAGCCTCCCCGACCAGCCCTTCTCTTTCTCTTTAAAAAACCTTTATTGTTGGAAGTATGACATACATCCCCCGTTTCCCCTCCATGAACCTCTTCCAGTCCTCCCCCCCACCCCCAAGGCCCTCCGCACCCCATTGCTGTGTCCACGGGTGGTGATGCATCTGTGCAGACAAGCTCACTGCCTGGTCTCTTCCCACCCCGCCACCCCCCATCGGCCTTCTCTCTGGGGTTCCCTCAGTCTGTCCCAGGCCTCTTCATCTCTGGGTCTCTCTTCGATCATCCGTTTATTTGGTTCGTTCGATCCCACCTGGGAGTGCGATCGTGGGACACGGCCTTCCTCTGAGGGGCGTGTTTCGCTCAGCACCATGCTCCCCTTTTCTGTCCCTCCTCAGATCTTGAAGTCTCTCTTCCCTGCCTTTCTTTGTCTGCGCACTCCCGTCCGCCTCTTCCTCCTTCTCCCCTCCTCCCTCCTCCCTCCCCCCTCCTCCCTCCCTTCGTCCAGCGGGTGTGTGTGAGCACCTCCTGTCTGCAGAGCTGCGGGTCCAGCGAAGGGAGCTGCCCCTTTCTCCCTGCCCAGCCCCCCCTTTCTCCCTGCCCAGCCCCCTTGCCTCCGGCCCCGCGGTCCCCATTCATGGAACCCGATGAAAGCTCTGCATCTGAAGCCTGGACCTGCCTCGCAGTATCTGCTCAGGCAATTTTAAAAATAAATATATATTTTTATGGACCTCAGAGAGGAAAGGAGAAAAAGAGGGAGACAGAAACATCCATGATGAGAGAGAATCATGGATCGGCTGCCTCCTGCACGCCCCCAACTGGGGATCCAGCCCGCAACCCCGGGCAGGTGTCCTTGACCAGAATCGAACCTGGGACCCTTCGGTCTGCAGGCCGACGCTCTGTCCACGGAGCCAGCCGGCCAGGGCTCAGGCAGTATTTTCTCATCTGTCTGGGTCCCGGTTTCCCTGTTGGTGAAAGGGGAGGGTGGCCTGGTTCTGACTGCACAGGGTTGTCAGATGTGGGGGTGAAGGCTAAGTTGGGGGGGGGGTTGTGAATGTCCAGGTCACGTCGCCGTCCCTGGTGGTGGAGGGCTCAGGCCGCTCACAGCCCCGCGTCCCTGACTCCACAGCTCTGTCCACCGTCGGCGGGAACGGGAACGGTGCCCCCTGCGTCTTCCCCTTCACCTTCCTGGGCAAGAAGTACGAGCGCTGCACCACCGACGGCCGCAGCGACGGCAAGGCCTGGTGCTCCACCACCGACAGCTTCGACGACGACCGAACCTGGGGCTTCTGTCCCGACCAAGGTACCGGCCGGCCGGCTGGCCGTGGGGCCCGCCGCCCGCACCCCACACCCACACCCCACACCTGGGCCCTCTCCCCTCCACAGGACGGCCTCCCCACACCCACACCCCACACCTGGGCCCTCTCCCCTCCACAGGACGGCCTCCCCACACCCACACCCCACACCTGGGCCCTCTCCCCTCCACAGGACGGCCTCCATCGTCCTTGTCTCTGAAGCCAGGGCCTGAGCCTTCTCTCCTCGTCTCTCTCCCCTCCCCGCCCTTCCCTGCGGCCCTCAGGGTACAGCCTCTTCCTGGTGGCAGCTCACGAGTTCGGCCACGCGATGGGGCTGGAGCACTCGCAGGACCCCGGAGCCCTGATGGCACCCATCTACACCTACACCAAGAACCTCCGCCTGTCCAATGACGACATCAAGGGCATCCAAGAGCTTTACGGTGACCCTCCGCTCGGGGCCGTGGGGTCTGGGAGGCCGTGTAGCCGGGATGGAGGGGCAGGAGGTGCTCCAGGAAGGTCCCAGCTCTCCCGGGCGGCAGGTGACCAGGGCAGGAGGCACCGGTGTTGACCTGCTCTGCAGGGGTCCAGGGCATCCAGGACAGCTACTTTTCTTCCCAAATCTCATCAGTATCCACGCCCCTCTTGGCCCTCTTATCTTTTAGGGAGTAAACGGAGACCTGAGAGAGGTCACTTCCCCGGGGTCACCAGGTCGCAGCCACCAAGTTAGGTTTTTGTGCTGCGCCAGCACAGCTAAGGGTTCAGCAAGCTGAGGGAGGATGAAGAAAAGACGGACAAAGAGAATACGCTGGGGTCTAGATGCATCTTCTGTGCCTGGCCGAGGCCACAGAACAGATCCAGGCTGCAAAGCTGATGCTTTATTTATAATCAGGCGCAAACAAGGAAATTTACAATGTTCTTGTAATTTTCACTTGTTTTGGCAGCATTTGCTGCCCCTCCCACAGCCCACTAGCTCCCCAGGAAGGATCTGGGGAGCAGTCACAAGATCAAGCTTAGTTATGCTTCGAGGGCTGTGCCCTCCACGCTGGGACTGGTTTGCGACCGAGGCTTAACCTATCACAAAGTTTAGGATCCCTACAAGGTTTAGGATCCAGGAGCATTAGCTCCATGCGGGGCAGAATTTCCCAGCGTTGCCATGGCCTTGATGACATAGGTATGCAGGTCTCTAGTTTTCCCGGACGATTCTTTCATTTGCATGTGTCATCGGAACAATATACAACAAGGACCTGCGACCGGTGCTTGCCTTGAGGCTGGAGCCTAAAGAGTTAGATCCATGTTCTAGAAAACGTAGATGTGTTAACGGTACCGGTGCTGCGTGGACCACGCCGAAAGAGTGCACGTGGTGCTTGAGCCGAGAGGCTGGGGGAGCCAGGGGTGAACTTGAACCCGTGATGGAGGGGGAGGCACCGGGCTGCCTGCTGCCTCTGCCCCTCGCCGGCCCTGAGAGACGGAGCCAGTCTTCGCCTCTCTGGACTCAGTTTCCTCACCTGTGAAGTGGGAGTGATAGCGATGCCTGCCTCCCAGGGGTGAAGTGGGGACCGACTCATGGTGATGTGTATGAAGGGCGAAGGTCCATGGGGTTCTGGCTTCTCTCCGCTCCCCTCTCCCCACGTCCAGGCAGCGTCTCCCTGTCCTCCCCGGCTTACACGAAGGCCAACATAGTGTTTCGTGGGAGCCTAGGGGGAGAACCCCTGGGGCTGGGGGAGAGTCTGAGGTCAGGTGTCCTCCCCCAGGGCCCAACCCGGACACTGACACCGGCCCCGGCCCCTCCCCCACGCTGGGGCCCGTCACTCCCGAGATCTGCACCCAAGACATTGTCTTCGACGGCATTGCTCAGATCCGCGGGGAGATCTTCTTCTTCAAGGACCGGTGAGTGGGGGGCCCCCAGCCCAGGGCCCCCACTGGGCGCTTCCTGGAAGGGCCCGCAGAGTAGGGTTTGCCGTGGGTCACATGACCTCCGGGTCTCAGGGGCTCACCCCCACAGGCATCTCCTTTGCTTTCTCCTAGCCCAGTGGTTGGCAAACTCATTAGTCAGCAGAGCCAAATACCAGCAATACAGCGACTGGCATTTCTTCAGAGAGCCACATTTTTTTAAACTTAAACTTCTTCGAATGCCACTTCTTCAACACAGACTCTGCCAGGCCTTGGTAGTCTGTGGAAGAGCCACTCTCAAGGGGCCAAAGAGCCGCCTGTGGCTTGCGAGCCGCGGTTTGCCGACCACTGTCCTAGTCTGTGGGTCTATTAGGCATGGGTGCAGGGTGGCTGGGCATGTCACTCATTCTCCTGGGGTTTGTGGGCGCTCGTGGCCGATGGCAGAGGCACAGGAGGCCAAGCCGGGCCGCACAAGCGCAGTTCAAGGCTCACATCAGGTCTGGGGGTGTCCCATTGATGGGAGCTCACATCACATCTGAGCGTGTCCCAAGGCCTACCCTCAGGGCGGCCCTGCAGAGTCAGGTGGCAACAGACACAGCTCTGTGCTTCTTTTTAATTTTTTTTTCATATATTTTATTGATTTTTCATAGAGAGGAAAGGAGAGGGATAGAGAGTTACAAACATTGATGAGAGAGAATCATCAATCAGCTGCCTCCTGCACACCCCCTACTGGGGATGTGCCCGCAACCAAGGTACATGCCCTTGACCGGAATCGAACCCGGGACTTTTTAGTCCACAGGCTGACGCTCTATCCACTGAGCCACACCGGTTTCGGTGGCTCTGTGCTTCTAACAGGGATGGAGGGGAACGTTAAGAAGCATCCTTCAGGCTGTCCCAGGCCTCCTCCCAGAATGGCCTTGACCTCCAGTGGCCAAACTGTCCTATGTCTGGGGAGCAAGTGACCACAGGGAAGAGAAAGGGGGTGTCCTTGGTGCTATAAAGGCCCCCACTCTTATCGACCCAGGGCTGGGACCCATCCCGCAGCCCTAGCCCTCCTGGATATTGGCAGATGGTAGTAGAGGTGCATTAAAAACCTATCCATCATCCATCCGTGAAAACACACATACCCATCCATCCATTCATCTATCTGTCCATCCACCCATTACCCATCCGTTATCTACGCATCTATCATCCAGGATCAGTTCCTCCTCCTCCTCTATCCACCCATCCAGCCAGCCATCCATTCATAGAGCATACTAGTTGACAGAGCGGGCTCGGGGGCCAGACGGCCTGGGTTAGACTTCCAGACCTATTGCTTACCGGTGGCCTGATCATAGTTAATTAGGTATCTTTACCTTAGTTTCCTCATCTGTGAAATGGGACATATTTCCCCACCTGTCTCAGGGCTGCTGTAAGGGTTAAGTGAGCTCCGCCCGAGGAACAACACCTGGCACAGCGTCTGTGTGTCCCATTGTGCCAGCTGGTATCACCAACAACTAATCACTAGGCATCCGTGGTGCCAAGTACTTGGTTAGGCTTGAGGAGCTGGGGGCGGGGGACGGGGTGTAGAGGAGCTGTGGGTAGTCAGGCTACTTAATGCCAAGATCCGTGTTCTCAGAGGGGTCCATGGGCCTTCTACCCTAACCCCCCTAGGGCTGTGGTCGGCAAACCGCGGCTCGAGAGCCACATGCGGCTCTTTGGCCTCTTGAGTGTGGCTCTTCTACAAAATACCACGGCCTGGGCGAACCTATTTTGAAGACGTGGCGTTCGAATAAGTTTAAGTTTAAAAAAAAAAATTGGCTCTCAAAAGAAATTCCAGTCGTTGTCCTGCTGATATTTGGCTCTGCGGACTAATGTGTTTTCCGACCACGGCCCTAGGGTGTCCGTGTGAAAAGTGTGGGTGTCTGCCCCACCCCCAGGCCCTGTGCCTGTGATCTCCGGGAGGGGGCCCCAGGAGTCTGCATTGGAGCACATCCCCCGGATGACTCCGATGCACGTTCAAGTCGAGCATCGCGTGCCTGGTTTGGGAAACTGAGGCAGAGAACCTCGACAGCAGCCCAGGGCAGAACGAAAGACGCGGCTGCAGAAGCACCCATGCGTCAGAGGCTTTGTGGGCACATCCAGGGCAGGGCGGCGGTGGCGAGAAGGCAGCCCTCGGAGGGGCCTGTGAGGAGACCGGGACTCAGATGGACGGCGTGGTGCAGGGGCTGACCGGTCGGGAGGGTGCATAGACGGGGGGGAACCGCCAGGGCAAAGCCAACAGAGGTGCGTGAGCTCCTGGCTGCTGCCGGGAGGAGCCGAGAGCCTGGTGGGCCTGGCTGGCCGGCCGTCTGTCCGTCCGTTTTGGGGAAGGGCCGCCTCCACTCCACCGTCCCCCTCCTCCCCTCCCCTCAGGTTCATCTGGCGGACAGTGAGGTTGGGCGAGAAGCCCACGGGGCCCCTGCTGGTGGCCACGTTCTGGCCTGAGCTTCCGGAGAAGATCGACGCCGTGTACGAGGCCCCTCAGGAGGAGAAGGCCGTGTTTTTCGCAGGTGCGTGGGAAGCGGCCTGCCGGCCCTCGGCCCCTCGGGGCTCTGCCTCCCGGTCCCCGGGCACCTGGGGGTGCTCCCTTCCTCCGCGTTAGGGACCCGTTCTTCCCACCACCACCTCCGGAAGCGTGGGCTTCGTCCGGGAGGCTGGCTCCGGCCCCAGCATCGGAGAGCACCGGCCCCCGGAGCAAGCATGGAGTAACCTGAGCTCTCTCTCCCTCCTTCTGACCCCTTTTCCAGAAGGAACACCGCAGTTGCGTGGCGCTGTCTCTAACGCCAGCAAGAGCCTCCAGCAGGCAACAGCTTTAGTTGGAATTGAAAAAACACACACATAATTTGCTTTTATTTTTAAACTTTAAAATGAACATTTAAATATATATATATTTTATTGATTTTTCCACGTCGAGGAAGAGAGAGGGATAGAGAGCTAGAAACATCGATGAGAGCGAAACATCCATCAGCTGCCTCCTGCACTCCTCCTCCTCCCCCCCACCCAGTAGGGATGTGCCTGCAACCCAGGCACATGCCCTTGACAGGAATCGAACCTGGGAACCCTTCAGTCCGCAGGCTGATGCTCTATCCACTGAGCCAAACCGGCCTCGGCTAAAATGCACATGTTTTTAAAACATTTCAAATGGAATTTTCCTTAAAAGTAAGTACTTATATAAGGAGTCTCTAGAAGTGGTCGAAATCGTCAAGAGAGGATCACGTGGCTGGTGTGGGGAGCCCTGTTTTTATCCAGCGTGGATGTGAGCACCTGCCACAGGCGGGGGATCCAGGCCCTGCCCTCACAGAGCTCACACACCGGCTGTCACGGGGCTGCCATCAGCGTTGGGACTCAGGAGGGAGGACCGGCAGGTGTGAGCTGGAGCACAGAGGCAGCTTACCTATTCCACTGGCCCACTCCCAGGCCCCTTTGCCCCAGGAATCGTGGGCTGTGGCCAGGGCGCTGCTGGTCCCCAGGGCTGCTGTGCACAGAGTAGAAAAAGGTGCCCCCACGTGGCAGGCGTGGCACCCACAGAACGTGGCTGGTGAGTGGAGTGAGGGCTGGATCCCTTTCCAGTCCCCTCCTCGGCCAGCCACCTTCTGTAACCAACTGTCACCCCGTCCACCGGGGCCCTGGCCGGGGCTCTGACCCCAGGCACGTCCCTGTGACAGTGGCCACCTCGGGGTTCCCCCGGCAGACCGCTGAGGGGAGGAACGAGCCAGCTGGCCCCTGACCTGCTCTTGGCTTCCACCCCAGGCGATGAGTACTGGGTCTACTCGGCCAGCACCCTGGAGCCCGGGTACCCCAAGCCGCTGACCAGCCTGGGGCTGCCCCCCAGCGTGAAGCGAGTGGACGCCGCCTTCAACTGGAGCAAGAACAAGAAGACGTACATCTTTGCGGGGAAGAAGTTCTGGAGGTAAGGGGGCCGCGGAGCCGGCGGCGTGGCCACGGACGTGGCAGCTGCATGCCTCCGGGGTCACGTGCGGAGGCTGGTGGGCCCTGGATGTCCCCTCTCTGGCCACCCCTTGGAGAAGCCACCGAGGGAGGACGTAGGCGTCTGATGAGCACAATTCTGGTTAGAACCACCTTCCCCTTCTCAGAATTCTTTATTTGTTGATTGATTGATGATTGATTGATTGATTAAGGTATCACATATTTGTCCTCAGCCCCCCATTCCAATCCCCCACTCATGCGCCCACCCCCCCTATTGTCCTTGACCACTGGTTAGGCTCCTAAGTCCTTTGGTGGATCTCTCCCTTTTATCCCCATTCTCCCTCTGAGGTCCAACAGTCTGACCATGGCTCCTTCTCTCCGGGTCTGTTCTTGTTCATCCGTCTATGTTGCTCACCATTTCCCCCGGATGTGTGAGATCATGTCCTACCGGAAATACGCTTATACGCATCAAAAATGGGACAAGCACTAATCTTATGCTGAAAGGCATGTGAATCCGTCTGTAGTGAGCTTCTTTCTGGGCCACCCGATCTTTTGAGACCCAGTTTCGATGGTGGGCCCCTGTCTGGTCTGGAGCTCCCCGGTTTGGGATGATTCGCTGCAGGAAGGGTAATGAAAAGAAAGGCGGCAGCTTCTCCCACAGACACCCTTCCGAGGGCTTTGGGAGAAGATGGATGCTCTTCGCATTCCCGCTTCACAGAGGAGGACCCTTGGGCTCAGAGAGGTTCAGTATGGAGCTCAAAGTCACACAGCCAGGGAGTGGCAGTGTGGGCTTTGGACTCTGGAATTCTGGGTCCCAGAGGACATGCTGTTTTTCACTGTTCTACATTGTGCCCCCAAAATAGTGGGGGGTTGGGGGGGGTGTCTCAAGCAATGGGGTGGAAGAGGCAGGGATGGGAGAAGGCAACATACGATGAAGACTGAGAAATGGGTGCACCTGCTTCTCCCAGCATCCGAATCAGAGCCCAGCTTGCCGGCAGGTAGCTCTCTGCTCCAGGTTCTCTAGAAGGAAGGGTCAGTTCTGAGAGGTCAGGGTCAAGGTGCAGGGGCAGCGGCCCCATCGCTAGGAATGGTCGGTGAGCAGCAGCCTCGGGGTGACTGCATGTTGTGCTCGTTCCCAGGGAAGGACACTGTGGTTCACGGGTGTGTTGTTGGCCACAGAGCCAGGATTGTACCTGCCTTTCCTGTCCCCTCCCCCTGGGGCCCCTCCATGGCTCCCTAAGGGCCATGGGGTCAGGGGGAGGAGGTGATTGTGCAAGGATGGGTGGCAGAGTGTCCTCACCCACTCACGTTCCTCTGTGGCTGCCTCCGGCCCTGGGTCTGTCGTTCCTGAAACAATTCTGCTTTCTTCCCAAGGGCCCTCTCCTCTCCCCCTTTCCCCGCCCCCGGCTGCCCAGGCATCCAGAGGGTGGAATTCCAGACAGGCTGCTAAGACACTTAGCAGCTTAAGCTGATGGATATCTCCGAAAGAAAGCAGCCCGCCAGGAAACCGCAGGGCGGGCTCTCCGCCCACAGGCCATGAAACCCTCCCAGGCTCACGAGGGCTGCCCGATCCCGCGTGGTGCGCTCCGCGTCTCCTGGCCTTAGCATGTGGGAGAGCTGTGCTGTGCACCCTGGGATTAACCTGCACGGTGACCTCGCTGTCTGGGTCGAGATCAGCCCCCAGGACACACACTGTCATCTCCACGGGACAGATGAAAAGGCAGCACTATGTCCCCGCCAGCCAGGGAGCGTGTGGTGTGGGCACACCGCGTCCAATGCCCGTCCCATTGCCATGGGCATCAACATTTGTAGAGGAGCTAATATGTCCCAGTAACCTGCCAGCTACGGGGAGAGGCCCTGTGCGAGTGTTCTTGTCTTTGGTGTTCGCACGAATCCACACATTCGAGGAAATAGAACCCCATCTTCCAGCTGGTAAAATCGAGGCTCAGAGAGGCCTGGGCTGGACTCCCCCTTAGAAGCTGGGAACTCTTTAAAAAAAAACAAACATATATATATATATATATATATATATATATATATATATATATATAAATATATAAATATATATATATATTATTGATTTTTTACAGAGAGGAAGGGAAGGGAGAGGGAGAGAGTCAGAAACATCCATGAGCCGGGACCGGTTTGGCTCAATGGATATAGCATCTGCTTGGGGACTGAAGGGTCCCAGGTTTGATTCCGGTCAAGGGCATGTATCTTGGTTGCGGGCATATCCCCAGTAGGGGGTGTGCAAGAGGCAGCTGATTGATGACTCTCTCTCATTGATGTTTCTAACTCTCTATCTCTCTCCCTTCCTCTCTGTACAAAATCAATAAAATATATTTAAAAAAAAAAAAAAAGAAACATCCATGAGAGAGAAACATCAATCAGCTGCCTCCTGCACGCCCCCTACTGGGGATGTGCCCGCAATCAAGTTACATGCCTTTGACCAGAATAGAACCCGGGACCCTTCCGTCTGCAGGCAAACGCTCTATCCCCTGAGCCACACGGGTTAGGGCCTGGGTACCCTTTTCAAGCCTCCGGTCTGTGAGCTGGGTATTCCAGGAACCCTGGAACGGAGAAGGGAAATGAACGGTTGTTAACACGCCGCTTCCACGTCAGCGGTCATCACAAGCTTGTTTGCATTGGCCTGTGAAGGTCCCGCCCTGAGTGAGCAGGGAGCTGGGGCTCAGACCTTCTCTGACCAGCCGTCAGCAGCCTCCCAGCAAGGCGAGGTCTGGTTTCCCAGGCCCCCCCCGGGAGCCGCCCGCGGGGCCCTCCCATCCGGGCCCGGAGAGGGGCGGCCGCCGGGGAGGCCCTGCCGGCTCACGGTGTCCTGTCCTTCGCAGATACAACGAGGTGAAGAAGAAGATGGATCCCGACTTCCCCAAGCTCATCGAGGACGCCTGGACCGCGGTCCTGGATGACCTGGATGCTGCGGTGGACCTGCAGGCCGGGGGTGAGCTGCCAGGGCCTCTGTCCGCCTTCGAGGGGCCCCCGCCCCCACCCGGGGCCTCCGTCCTGCAAGCACACACTCCCTCATTGTGCAGGGAGGCTGGTGGTGCCGGGGAAAACAGACCGGCCCCTTCAGCCCGGGGCTGGGAAGGCATCCAGACCTCTGACCTCTGCTCACTCACACAGCAGCTCCAGGCAGTCAGGCCCAGAGAGGCCCCTCACAGCTGCAGGGCCTGGGGCCAGGGAGGTGGGGGCCGGGGGAGGCGGGCCGGAGGCCTGCGGGGGGACCAGGAACATGGGCTCTGTGCCCTGCCTTCCTTCTGGGCCTCGATCCAGGCCCTGTTGACTTCCACAGGCCTTGTCACCGCCTCCCGTGAGCAGAGGGATGGCTCCGGGTGAGACAGGACTCACTCGGTCATGGCCTCTTGCAGATGTGGCAAAGGTCCCCCTTCTGCTCACTGTGTCCCTGGTCCCTGGCTGAACAGTGTCATCGAGGAGTAGAATTTGGGGTTTGAAAGCCATATTCTTTTTTCTTTTGTTTTTCTTTTTTTAAAAATATATGTTATTGATTTTTTACAGAGAGGAAGGGAGAGGGATAGAAAGCTAGAAACATCGATGAGAGAGAAACATCGATCAGCTGCCTCCTCACACCCCCTACTGGGGAAGTGCCTGCAACTAAGGTACATGCCCTTGACCGGAATCGAACCTGGGACCTGTCAGTCCTCAGGCCGACGCTCTATCCACTGAGCCAAACTGGTCTCGGCTGAAAGACATATTCTTGAGGAGGCTTTTGGGAGTCTCGAGGGCCCTGGAAGCGATCCAGCATGGCTTTTTAGAGACCATTTTAATTAAATTCCACAAAGATATTTTTTATTGTTGGAGCCCCTGTCGTACTCTGGCTGAGCACGTGGCCCTGACCTTGGCTTGAGTGGAATCCAAAATAAGACAGAACAACAACAACAAGAAGCCTTGTGTGACCTGTGGGAGGAGGGAGCGGCGTCCTGGTGCGTGGTCTCCAGTTTAGGGATGAGAGTGCTCCGAGGAACACTATGTGCATTCCTAGTAGCACGTCTGGTCTCCTTTCATCTTCACCACAGGCCCTAGGTAAGGTGACCAGACGTCCCACTTTGGGCGGGACAGTCCCGATTTTTCACAGTTTGTCCCGCGGCATCGACAAATTGTGGGACAAATTGTGAAAAATCGGGACGTCTGGTCACCTTACTAAGAGGATCTCCATTCCTCTCTTGAAGACGACTCCGAGAGCTGACTCCCCCCGCCACGTCCCTTACCCAGCCTCGGAGGGTCCCCTCTGGGTGAAACGCTGCTTCCCGAGGGCCCCTGGCTTTCAAAGCTCCCAGGAAGCTCCAGGGCCAGCAGGCCTGGGGTGCTCACAGCCTCTCCTCTCTTTCTCTCTCTCTCTCTCCCAGGTTACAGCTACTTCTTCAAGGGCAAGTACTACCAGATGCTGGAGAATCACAGCCTGAGGAACGTGAAGCTTGGGAGCATCAAGAACGACTGGCTGGGCTGCTGAGCTGGCCGCAGCGCCCGCCGGCCTGGGGCATCTCCGTCCCGCTCTGCACGCCAACGGGCGGGCCCTGAGCGCCGGGCAAGGCCCCGGACGGGCCTGGCGGCCTTCAGCTCTGTGGTTCACCAGCATTCTCACCGCCACCCTGGTCACAGGAGGTTCCGGAGAGTGACTGTGCCCTGTGTCCAAGGAAAGGCGCTCCTGACCCCTCCGTAGCCCACCGGCCTCCCAGGCCACTCCAAAGAGAGGCTTTGATGTCCTCAACGCGGCCCTGCCCTGGGCCGCCCTGGTGCTGCCCTGGTGCTGCCACTCCTCAGGCTCTCCCTCCTCCACAACCTTCTGTGGCTCCCAGCCAATGGGGACTGTCTCCAGAGGGCACTGGTGGCCCAACAGGCTGGCCTGGCCTGGCCTGGCCTGGGGGAGAGGCGTGGCCAGGAGGCCATGCAGACACCTGGCGTCCCCCTGCTGGCTGCCTTAGAACCTTCTCTGGGTGCACTTTTGTCCTTTCCATCATTTTTTTTTTTTTTTTTTTTTTTACTTTTTCACTTTGCAATCGCATTTCCTGCCAGAAGGACTCAGGCCTTCTGAAGTCCCCGGGGGAAGCAGGGGAAGCATCCCAGCCCACCTTGCGATGGTGCCCTGGCTCACTCTCTTACTCCAAACCTGCCCCCTCCTGTCCTCCACCGGATGGAGGAAACCCGAGCCACCATGGCTCCCTGCCCCGCCTTCCCCTCCTCGCCCTTCAACAATTCCCCATGGGAAATGTCAACAGTAAGAGTAAAGACACTGATTGAGTGGCTGTGTTTGCTCTGTGTTTATAGTCCCCGGAGGAGGAGGAGGAGGAGGAGGAGGAGGAGGAGGCCAGCACTGGCTAGACTTCTGCTCCCCGAAGGGCCCGGGTGACCCCTGAGAGGTCCTAGGTTATGTGCTGGGGCCCCTCTGCCCCGGGGAAAGCGCCTTGAAGCAGCAGGGAGTGATTCTGAAGCTGTAACTGCAGCCTCTTTGAATCTCAGTTTCTTCGTGGACAATAATCCCCATTCTAACACAAATGAACAACAACCCCCCCGGGATGAATAGGGGACCTACTATGTGCCAGGCACCAGACATGCATCATTTCGTGGAACCCTTGACAACAACCTAAAGAGAGCATGGCCAGCTTTTATTGATGCGGAAACTGAGGCCCAGAGAAAAGGGATTTGCCCAGGGTCCCATAGCTACTAGGTGACAACCCAAGGCAAGGCCAAAGATGACCTAGAGGAGGAGTAATAGCCCTCCGCCCAGAGCCTGGAGCAGCAGCGTGACCCTCTCCCCTTCCTCAAAAGCCACCTAAGTCCACAGCCGGGGGAGAAACGCCGCTTGCTCCCTACGCACAGCTTCTCTTACTGGGTCAGCTCCTGGGGGCTCCTCTCCAGGGAGGGTGTGATGTCACTGGGGCTGCTGTCCTGACAGGTATAGCTCTTCAAGCCCCGTAAGAACGATGAGGCGATTCTGAATTTCCTGAGGAGACAACTCTGCAGAGAAACAACATCTGCCCAGAGCCACTCCGTTGGGGCTCAAGGTCTGGGCCACTTTCCTAGTTCCCTGGCCCAGGCCTCCATGCGGATGGTTCTGCCACAGGTGGCCAGACTCAGGGACCCTTGCGACCTGTGAGCCCCCATAATGCCCCTGGAGGGGAGGGCTCTTCAATTGGGGGTCGGCTGAGACTTGGGATCGGCCCTTTGGCAGTTTCATGGGGGGAAGTCTGTACCACGGTGGTCCCGGCGGGCTGCCTGGAGGAGGCCTTGGGACAAACCTTCTCAGGGATACCACTACCCCAGCAATACCCTCTTCTCAGCCCCTGCTCCCGGGGTGGACTCAGCGTGGCCCAGGGCCGCTGGGTGCAGGGCCCAGGGAGAGGTGGCCTTAGGGTTCTTCTCTTCAGTGACACTGACATGACCTGGAACCCCTTCATGGTGTTGGGCTGGGGACATGCTGGGGTACGCTAGGCCACCTTCTGATTTCACCACCTCCGTCCACATGCGTCCAATGCCTGGGATGCTGACAGCTCTGGGCTCCGCACACGCTTGTGGCCCAACTTGACCTACTGGACCTACTGCCCAATTTCTCTTGGGCCAGGATTCGGCAAACTCATTCATCCACGGAGCCAAACATCAACAGGATAACGATTGACATTTTTTTGGAAGAGCTACATTTTTTAAAAAAATATATATTTTATTAATATTTTATAGAGAGGAAGGGAGAGAGATAGAGAGCTAGAAACGTCGATGAGAGAGAAACATCGACCAGCTGCCTCTTGCACACCCCTTACCGGGGACGTGCCCGCAACCAATGTACATGCCCTTGATTGGAATCGAACCTGGGACCTTTCAGTGACGCTCTACCACTGAGCCACACCAGTTTCGGCAGAGAGCTACATTTTTTAAACTCAAACTTCTACTAACGCCACGTCTTCAACATAGACTCGCCCAGGCCGGGGTATTTTGTGGAAGAGCCACACTCAAGGGATCCAAGAGCCGCATGTGGCTCGCGAGCCGCAGCTTACCGTCCACGGTCTTAGGCCAAAGCTGTGGGCTGATTTCAGCCCTGTGGGGTAGAACTTTATCTTTTTCCACCCCCAGAGGAGAACAGAAGCTCAGAGCGGTGAAGCGGGTAGCTGAAGGCCACACATCTCTCCTCCGGTGGGGATGAAAGATGCTGATGCCGGGAGGAGCGATGCAAGAGCAGCCGCCCAGGCCGCGGACTCAGGCCCCCCTCCTGCCTGCAGGCTGCTGTGAGCTGTCGCTCAGCAAGGATAAGCCATCCACCATCTTCATCCGACTCCCAGCCACGTAGGGCTTGACCCACTGGTCTCAGATTCCAGAAAACCTCCTCTCCCGCTCCCCACAACCGCCCACTTCGGTCCAGACAGGCCCTTGAACTTCCGCAGGGAGAAATGGAGCCACGGGGCAAGTCATTTCCCTTCTGGGGGGCCAGTTCCTCATTTAGCGAGGAGGGCCAAAGTTTTTTTTTGTTTTATTTTTTGTTTTGTTTTTACCTTCCTCACTATTCCCCCACCATCAGTCCCTGTTTCCGGTGGAACATTCCTGTTATTGATTTCTATTAGTCAAGACCCTCTGTTCTAACTGGGAAATAAACATCCAGAGCCAACAGGTCTTTTGTTTTGTTTGTTTTGTTTTATAATATATTTTATTGATTTTTTTACAGAGAGGAAGGGAGAGAGAGAGTTAGAAACATCGATGAGAGAGAAACATCCATCAGCTGCCTCCTGCACGCCCTCCCCTCCCCCCCACTGGGGATGTGCCTGCAACCAAGGTACATGCCCTTGACCGGAATCGAACCTGGGAACCCTTCAGTCCGCAGGCTGACACTATCTGCTGAGCCACACCGGTTTTGGCAATGCAGACAGGTTTTAACAAAAGCAGAAGTCCAACCCATAAAACCCACCCTGGATGCAGTCACTCCCTTTTCCTGAAGCAACTCGGGCTCACCCCTCCCATGGCTGGATGCAGGGCCTGTGGACCCCCATTTACAGAGGGGGGCAGCAGGGTCACGGAGACGGGGGTTTGGCCAACCTCTCAGAGTCAGTGAAAGCGATGGCAAGTCCAGGTCTGCCCCAACCCTGCAGCACAGAACTCAGGGGGTGCGTTGTTCTTAAAGGGGAAGCACACACTTCCAATGGGCAGAGCTGCATCTCCCAGGAAGAACATCCCAGCCGCACACCTAAGCGGACGGGGCGGGGCCAGGGCCCGGGGGCGGGGCCAGGGCCCGGGGGCGGGGCCATGTCCCGGGGGCGGGGCCAGGCCGGGCCGCATTGGTGATCTGGCGCCTGCGCAGATCCCGCCGCCGGGATCGGGCTCCGTGCGCCTCTGGTCCAGCTCGCCGGCTGCGCGGGTCCCGCGCTCCGATCCGCTCCGCGCGCGTCTCCTCCGCCGGGTCCGAGCCCCGCTGCGCCATGAGCCGGTGCGCCGAGGCGGCCGCCGTGGCGGCCACGGTGCCGGGCGCGGGCGTGGGGGGCGCGGGGCCGCGGCCGCAGATGGTGCCCCGCCAGGCGTCCTTCTTCCCGCCGCCCGTGCCCAACCCCTTCGTGCAGCACACGCGCATGGGCGCGGCGCGGCGCCTCCAGGTGGGTGTGCGCGTCCGGGAGCGGGCACCGGGCGGGGGCCGGGGGTCAGAGCGAGGAGGCATCAGGCGGGGGCCGGGGGTCAGAGAGAGGAGGCATCAGACGGGGGCCGGGGGTCAGAGAGAGGAGGCATCAGGCGGGGGATGTGGGTCAGAGCGAGGAGGCATCAGGCGCGGGGCGTGGGTCAGAGCGAGGAGGCATCAGGCGAGGGGCGTGGGTCAGAGCGAGGAGGCATCAGGCGAGGGATGTGGGTCAGAGCGAGGAGGCATCAGGCGGGGGGCGTGGGTCAGAGCGAGGAGGCAGAGGCAGGAGAGGGTCTTGGGCCAGAGAAGAAGGTGCATCCGAGGAAGGGGCGTGGGTCAGGGGTCAGAGAGAGGAGGCAGAGGCCGGAGGGGGACTTGGGCTGGAGAAGGTCATCAGGGGAGGGGCATGGGTCAGGGGTCAGAGAGAGGAGGCAGAGGCAGGAGAGGGACTGGGGACAGAGAAAAAGGTGCATCAGAGGAGATGCATGGGTCAGGGGGTCAGAGAGAGGAGGCATCAGGTGAGAGGCGTGGGTCAGAGCGAGGAGGCAGAGGCAGGAAAGGGTGTTGGGCCAGAGAAGAAGGTGCATTGGAGGAAGGGGCGTGGGTCCATGATTCAGAGAGAGGAGGCAGAGGCCGGAGAGGGACTGGGGACAGAGAAAACGGTGCATCAGAGGAGATGCATGGGTCAGGGGGTCAGAGAGAGGAGGCAGCCCAGCGAGGGGCGAGGACTTGAGATGAGAGGGTCTGGGGGTGCCCCAGTTGTGACAGGGGAGGCATCTGAGGGGGGCGTGCATCTGGGAAGCAAGGGCTCCGAGGGAGAAAGAGCCGTGGGTCGGAGAGGAGAGGCGTGTGCGGGGGCTGTGAGTCCGCAAGGGGCGCAGATGTGAGTCCGAGGATGGAGGGGCCTGGAGGATGGTCTGGGGCGGGAGGGGGTGTGTGAGGAGAGAAGGTGCAGGTCCTCCCAGGAGGAGGCGGAGCAGGCCAGAGGCCGAGGACACGTTTTTTCCATGCGTGAGAACGGGGTTTGTGAGAGTGTAGCTGGCGGTCACATTCACAGGAGAGTGGGTTTGGGGAATTAGTTTGTTGTTGGTTTGTTTAGGGAAGGAGAGGAGCGGGTCTGGGATGGGAAGAGTGAGAACGCAGAGAGCCCAGTCTGGAGTCGGAACAATAAGTAAGACTGAGAAGATCCAGAGGCATCAAGGGTAGGGAATGGGATCTAGGAAAAGGGATGGTGAGGGTCAGCTTAGGGTGTTTCTCTTTGGTACCAGTCTTCTCCCAAACACCCCTCCTAGGTTCAAAGATGAGAGGCAGCGGGGACATTCCTCCCCTGTTAAACATGGCCGCCCGCAAAAAGGAAGTGTCCCTTCCTGTCCCTTTTCTTGTAAAGCGCTGTCTTTCCCACGAACAGTCACCCTCACTCTCTGGACTTCCCCTTCGGTGAAGTTCGCGATCAAAGAACAAGATAGACTGTGCAAGCTCCATGTGTCCGGTGTGGTCTGTAAGGGGGGCGGGGGGGGGGTGAAATGTCACAAGTTCCTTTCCTTTGGGTTTGAAATCGTGTGACGGATGCCCTAAGACCGTCGTCCCGGGCAGTGGAGGCAGGCGGAGAGCTGGGCTGAGCAGCGGGGGAGGCGGGGAGCGCGATGACAGACGGGTGTCTGGTGAAAGAAGGGTGTGAGCGGGGAAGAGGAAGACCATGTGTAGTAACACCTCTTGGGAAAGAAAGAGGTTTGAAACTTTGATCTTCGTGTCTGTCAGCGGGGAGAGGTTCCCATTGAGTCTTAAACATTTGGAAACACGTAGACATTTAGAGACATGGAGTGACTGTCCCATAAGATTCATTGTAGTCAAGTCCGCCCTACTTGAATGAAAGTCTGTCCATCTACTGGGCGTCATATTTTTGAAAGAGGACCAGAGTGCCATTATTAAAAGGATTTGTATTGCACCTGGAGTGAATGACTTTTTTTAAATGTATTTATTGATTTTTTTTACAGAGAGAAAGGGAGAGGGATAGAGTTATTAATAGAAATATCAATGAGAGAGAAACTTTGATCAGCTGCCTTCTGCCCACCTCCCACAGGGGACGTGCCCGCAACCAAGGTACATGCCGTTGACCGGAATCGAACCTGGGACCTTTCAGTCCGCAGGCCGACGCTCTATTCACTGAGCCAAACCGGTTTCAGCAATGACTGTTTTTTAATAGTGTAGCCTGTTACGGTCGAGGGACTTCCAGACACGAACTGCCAGAGCTAAAGTACAATGGACAGATCTCGCGTCTTCGTCAGAGACGTCTCAGGTCCTGCCCTCTGTTCGCCGTAGAACTCTGGCCGAGGACTCTGCTCCGAACGGCACTGTCCTCTTCTATTAAATTGGAATAAAGTACATCAAAAGAGGAACAAAATTAAGTGAAGTCATGGGTGGAGACACCTGGTATTGTTCGCTGATCTTAATGTGGATCATTATGCTATCGGTTGTCTACATTTTTAAGGTAGTGCTTAAAATGGCCTATTTGTATGGAAAGGAATTGGATGTAGTCTGAGTATTTATTTAAACTACAGGTAGACCAGAGACACAAGATAAGTGTCAATGGCTTGAATGGTCTAGGTCGGTGGTCGGCAAACTGTGGCTCGTGAGCCGCTGTCTGCCGCTCTGTTGGCTAATGGGTTTGCTGACCACTGCTAGACTCCATGTTACTGTGTAGGTGGAAGCTGTGAGGATTAGGCAAAGAGGTAAAGGGTAGTGTATGGCAGTGCTCGGAAAACTCATTAGACAACAGAGTCGAAAGCCGCAGTTTGCCAACCACTGGTGTAGGTAAAGATAGATACAATTGAAAACCAATGTTGGCTGTATTACCCCGTTTAAAAGACGGATAGACTTCCATTGAAGGATGACGTGCTACGACTCACTCAGGCTAAATTTCACTTGAATTCAACTTTTATCTTGAATGAGGATCAGTGTCCTGCTCAAGGACCGTTATCACTTTTGCATCTCATGTCCGGGCTTCGCTTGGCCCCTCACCTTCCTTCTCTTTTTTGACTAGTTAAGGATCTGCTACTTAGGGGCATGGAAAAAAAAAAAAAAAAGTAGCCTGGCTTTCATTTCTCCCGTAGACTATGGGGGGGGAAATGAGTGTGTAGTTTAGTAATTGTGGTCATTTACCATATAAAACTATTTGTTGAATGCCTAAGATGTGCCAGGCACAATGCAATTCTCTGGAGATCCAGCAGTGGGAAGAGAAATAAGGACTCTGCCTACCTAAAGCTTATATCTCACTGAAGAAAAAACAAACAAAAACTAAACAAGTACAAAAGCATATAGCTTCATGTTTTTGTAAGCGCAGAGAAGAGGATAAGCATGATAGAGAATGCTGAAAGAATATCTCCCTACAGAGATGAGAGAGAACTCATCCAAATAGAACTATGATGGAGAATCCTCCTAATTTTTCAGAATTACTCAACATTGCTTTTCTGTTAAGTACTCTTATTTGTTGCAAACATGGAAGAGGCACAGAAAAAAAAAAAAAAAGTTGCTCCCTATTTGACAACGTACTCAATTCAAATCCATGTTACCTGCTCATTTTGAAGTTGGTGAATCTTCTAGGACCGTGGTCGGCAAACTCATTTGTCCACAGAGCCGAATATCAACAGTACGATTGACATTTCATTGGAGAGCCACATTTTTTAAACGTAAACTTCTCACGCCACTTCTTCAACATAGACTCGCCCAGGCCGTGGTATTTTGTGGAAGAGCCACACTCCAGGGGCCAAAGAGCCGCATGATATTCTGAAACCTCATTACAGCTTTTCCTTCAGGGTCTATGTGATGGTCCTTTCTTCCATTCAGGATTATCTCTTGGCCATTTGCCAGGCTGTCTTTATTTGACCTGCTTTGTAGCCAACACGCTGCTGCCATCTGTTCTCTGCAGAATTACAGTTCTCATTAAAAGGTACCCTTAAGAGATCGAAAAGGCAAACCATGGGATGGGAGAAACGATTTTCAATACACCTGTCGATCAACAAAAGACCATTCCAAAGAATAGATAAAGAACGCCTACCAATGGATATGAGTAAGACTAACCACCCCATAAAAATGGGCCGAAGACTTGAACAGGCACTTATTTTAAGAAGTTAAAGGGATGACTAACCCACACCTGAAAAACAGGCTCAGTCTATCCAGGACGTGCAAGTTAAAACCTCCTCGAGAGCATTCTCCACCCGCCAGCGCGGCCGCGAGGACTGACACCACCAAGTGTTGGCGAGGAGGTGAGGCAACAGGAACTTGCATACTTGTGCGGAGACTTGCAGAATGGTACACCCACTTGGGAAACCAGTTGGGCAGTTTCTCACAGAGTGAAGCATGCCCCGACCCAGCAGTTTCACTCCCTGTGATATGAACATATGTGTTCACACAGGGACGCGAATGTTAATCCTCATAGTTCAAAAAAACTTATAATATGGCCAACGGTCCACGAACAGATGAGTGGATAAATGAACTGTGATCTGTCCACACAATGGAATCGTACCCTGCCATTAAAAAGACTGTACCACTTACGCATAGGGCTGCCTAGGGGAATCTCAGAAATAGGAAGTGAACAAAGCCAGGCATAAAAGTCCAAAGGTGTGGACTTGATATCATTTATATGAAAATCTAGGACAGGCAAGAGTATAGTGAAAAAAAGTCTCAGTGGTGGCCAAGGACTGGGGAGAGTGTATTGCCCTCAACGAGGCACAAAGGACCATGTTGGGTGACCCGAATGTTCTATACCTTGATCGTGGTGGTGTTTGCCTGGCAATATACATTTGAAAAACGCATAATCTATACACTTCAACTAGGTGCATTTTATTTTATGTAAATGATGTCTTAATAAAGTTGAGGTTTTAAAGACACTAACAATGGCTAGAAGGGGACATTTTACAAAGGATACAGCCACTTATTTTCTTTATCAACTTTGTCTTTCAGACGTTCTTGCTTGGAATTGTCCTGCTTCCGGTCCGGGCCTTACTGCTTGGCTTAGTTTTATTACTGGCATGGCCATTTGCTGCGATTTCAACAATGTGCTCTCCTGACAAGCTGACCCATCCAATAACGGGTTGGAGGAGGTAAGAGATAGTTACGTCTAAATATTACGTAGGTCACCCTACAGACGTTCTGTTAGCGATCAATAGTTTTATCTAACTGCTACCTACTCAATTTTCATTACTCGTTTTTGTTTCTCAGGTGAGACTGTTCTTAATTGATCATATGCAGGAATTACTGCCCAAGAACAGATCATCTTTTGTGGAAGTTGTTACTTCCTAATATTAAAATATTTTGTTTTCTGATTTATTGCCAAAGAGTGATAGATGCCTGGTTCTCTAAGACCCGGTTAGTGTACCTGACACTAAAATACCCGGTTTCTTTTGTTGTTCTTCCTGAGTTTCCGCGTTTGCTTTTGTGCCTCTGTAATAACTACATACTTCAGCCAGTGATGTAATTAAGTGGGCAAATGATAGTCCATTAACTCATTACTTTAGTGATCATTTATTATTATTTTAATCCTCACCCGAGGATATTTTCCCATTGATTTTTAGGGAGAGTGGAAGAGAGAGGGAAAGACAGAGAGAAATATTGATGGGAGAGAGAGACACCTCGATGGGTTGCCTCCTGCACACGCCCCAGCCAGGGCCTAGGCCGGGGAGGAGCCGGCATCTGAGGTATGTGCCCTTGACCGGAATTGAACCCAGGATCCTTCGGTATGCAGGCCGATGTTCTGTCCACTGAGCCAAACCAGGTAGGGCTTTAGTGATTATGATTAACAACAATTTAATGATTCATCAGTAGAGCCAAGTTTTATTAAACATTAGCAGGGAGGCCACTGGAACTGCTTGTCACGCAGTATGTAATTAGCCTGGTGCTAGAGAATGGACTGATGATAAACTGAAGTTACTAGGAAAAGTCTGCCCCCCTGGGGCAGAACCCACTGGTTGCCACACGTGCGTCTGTTCTGAAAGCGAAGACCCTTCACGTGGACTCCTGGGATTTCATAGAAATCCATAGGTGGGCTTTAGGGCACTGTTCAACTTTCTGAAATTATGCCCATATTTTTTGTACACAAAGATCTGTACCTATTTATCTCAACCTCAAGTGAGACTATGTACCCCAAAATTTTGAGAAACACTGTTTTAGAAGCTTTTTAGGAAATAGGCAATTGGCTGTTCAGTTCATGTGTGAGTGAACAAATGTCAACATGGTACACACGGAAGCCCGTTTGAACCGGAATTAAATCCATGGCCCGCCATGCCCCGGGGAGAAATGATACCACCTCCGCCCTTGCCAGTCAGACTTCTTTGTTTTAGTTTTATTTTTAAAAAATATATATTTTATTGATTTTTTTACAGAGAGGAAGGGAGAGGGATAAAGAGTTAGAAACATTGATGAGCGAGAAACATCAATCAGCTACCTCCTGCACACCTCCTACTGGGGTTGTGCCTGCAATCAAGGTACATGCCCTTGACCGGAATTGAACCTGGAACCCTTGAGTCCGCAGGCCAATGCTCTACCCACTGAGCCAAACTGGATAGGGCCAGACTCCTTTGTTTTATAACTCAAGGTTGTCTGTCCTTAAAAACATACTGTAAGTGACATTTTTCATCACCCACTGATTCCTTTCCCTTATGTCCTCGGTTGCTATGATTAGTGGCTGGTAGAGACCCATAATAAGGAAAAGAACAGCCTAAAAGATCAGAAAACAGATCAAATAAAGGTAGGCAAAGGAAGTCCTAGTTTCTTCAATGGAGCCTCCTCTGAAACAGCTGACATTGGCGTTATTACACAAACACTAGCCTTTTAGCCGTAAAAACATATCTTACCTAGAAGTCTTTCGTGACTGTGAATAGCGGGCACTCTGGGATGTGGCTGTCAGAAGCTGCATCGCTATACATCGGAAATAGGACTTGTGGGAACCCCGTGAGAGAGGGCGCTTTTTTTATCACTACATCCACGGAGATCTCAACTCGAAACGAAAAGGGCAAGCAGGAGAGAGACGGTCATTTCCATGTGCCTCTGGGAAAGTCCTCTGGCTTCTGTGTCTCACTTCTGCTTGCTGTGGCGTCAGGGGCAGACCAGCTTCCCCAGTCGGTTGTTGCTTCAGAGTTCCTCTCTACCGCATTACGAGATAGTTGAGAGAATGAGGTGGGAAGGCTGCTTTCTAAAATGCTCATCGTTGTCTCAGGGGAGGATGCATGTATGATAGTATTGTATTTCCGTGAAAAGCTCTGTGTGTATGTACATACCGAGATGTCCGTCCCGTGTTTCCATTTCTAGGGAGTTTATGTTTTGGTTTCTCGACGCATGTGAGTCTGTCAAGGTCAGGGGCTGGGCCTTCCTTGTCTTGTGTGCCCAGCACAGTTCCTGGCACAATTTTTTTTTTTTTTAATCAAGCATCTTTAAAAAAAAATTATTTTATTGATTTCTTAAGAGAGGAAGGGAGAGGGATAGAGAGCTAGAAACATCGATGAGAGAGAAACATCAATCAGTTGCCTCCTGCACACCTCCTCCTGCCCACAACCAGGGTACATGCCCTTGACTGGAATCGAACCTGGGACCTTTCAGTCCGCAGCCTGATGCTCTATCCATGGACCCAAACTGGTTTCGGTTCCTGGCACAATTTGATGAATGACCCATCCTTTGGGAAATGTTAGCAGTTAGATTTCCAGAATTGTCTAAGTGAATGACAGCGAGGTAGTGGATTTTCTTAAGATTCTTGATGATGTCTTAGAAGGCTGGCTTTTTAAGAATTATTCCTAAAATAATGCCGAGGACAGTTTCAGCATGAGAATTCTGAAAGTGTTTGGGGAGATGGTGGTGTCTTTGTTACTCACGTGGAGATTCCCAGGGTACTTGCCTGGCAGGGCAGTACTGATTTGAATTTCTCAGAGGGATGTGTGTTGAAAACTCACTCTGTTCACTTTAGAGTTACAGAAGAATAGAGCCACTTACTAGCCATATGTCCTTGGAGAAAAAAAAAATCACTTCTCTGCACCTCAGTTTGCCCATCTGTAAAATGGGGATAATAATAATAAGTGACACCGGCTGTATAAAATTGGGTTGAGGATGAAAGGAATTAATATAGGTAGAGGATTTCAAGTAGTTCCTGGCAGAAAGCCTTGTTCCAGGGAAGTGTTAATTATGTTTCTTTACTTGTATTTTATTTTTTAATTAAAAAAATATATTTTATTGATTTTCTAAGGTATTTATTTATTTATTTTTATTTTTAAAAATGTTTTATTGATTTTTCAGAGAGAGGAAGAGTGAGGGATAGACGCTCTATCCACTGAGACACCCCCGTTTCAGCTTTACTTGTGTTTTAAAATGAAGTGTTCTGATCTGTTTGGGGTCCCACGCGGTGTTTTAGGTTAAAGCCCGGCGTTAGCTGCAGTGGGCAGAGCTGATTCTGTCCTTTCCCTGTGTGTGTTCGCAGGAAGGTCACTGAGCCTGTGCTACGGTTCCTGGGCCGGGCCATGTTCTTCTCCATGGGCTTTTCCGTGACCGTGAAGGGGAAGATCGCCAGCCCCGTGGAGGCCCCGATTTTTGTGGTGGCCCCTCACTCCACGTTCTTCGACGGGATTGCCTGCATCGCTGCCGGGCTACCATCCATGGTTTCTCGAAACGAGAATGTGCAGGTGCCTCTGATAGGCAGTAAGTACTTGTAAGGTAACAACATTTTTCACTTTCCTGCATTGTAAAAATCATATTTCGTTTACTGGCACATTGTTTAAAATATATTTTATTGATTTTTTTTACAGAGAGGAAGAGGGATAGAGAGTTAGAAACACGGATGGGAGAGAAACATCGATCAGCTGCCTCCTGCACACCTCCTACTGGGGATATGCCCGTAACCATGGTACTTGCCCTTGACCAGAATCGAACCTGGGACCCTTCAGTCCACAGGCCGACGCTCTATCCCTTGAGCCAAACCAGTGAGGGTTCCTGCCAGATTTTTAAGACACTTGAAAACGATGAAATATCTCAAAACATATTTACCTTCCTTTTAATGAGGTGCTATATCGAAAGAATGACTTTATGAAAAAAAGATTAGACTTCCTTATATAATTCTTTTAAAATGGTACCTTTAGCACTATACCATCATCTCTTTTCTGTTCTTATATATCAGAGGCCAGTTTTTCAAATACCAAACATGCTTGATTCTTTTGGAGGGATAATGTGACCACAGAATTTGTGGGAGCACCCGATGGATGCATGCTGCTTCATGAATGTCTCTTCAGGGATCAGGCCGACGAACACACTACAAGTTTTGTCCTACCTCTGCTTTTTTCCTTTCCCCCGAATCTCTATGAGGGACCAATGTTCAAATCTCTGAAAACTATGAGGAACAATAAGTACTTCCTGCTGTAAAAAGACAATGAAGCAAGTGGAATGTTTTTCCCACCAGATGCTTGGGCTCCTCCCGAGGGTAATAGTCTCCAAGTAACTGGTCCCAAGGTCATGGCAAGCATCAGACGATGAGAGAGCGAGTGTGAAAGTCGCCCGATGTTGCCTTGGTACCGTGCAGAAATGATAGTCACTCATGCAGCTAAGAGCGACACTCCTTCTCAGTGTAACTCTCTGCTTTGCATAACGGGCATTTTCCTGGAAAATTGCGTGGCAATGGGTTTTTGGCAAATTCAGTTCTAGGTTGCCTGTGCTAGGAAGGGATGCATTTCAAAGATTGTTGTGCCGAGAATTTTAGTAAAATGACTAGTAATTGGTTTGGAGTCCTATGCGCTATGAATTCACATGCTCAGTGTTCAGGCTGACCCTAAAATAAAACCAGATCATCTGGACACGTGAAAAGCTTAATGTCAACTGAGGAAGAAGACCTATAGGGAACAGATTGCATTGGCTGCTTTTCATATTCCTGCTGCCGATGTCTGTGAAGTCAATGAAATAGTTTTAGCTAGGAAATTCCACCTCTCCTTTTAGAACCGGAAGGGTAAGTTCTAACAAACGTTGAATTAGAGGGCGTGTGTGTGTGTTTTTTTTGTTTTTTTTAAAGTTCTCTTTTATTTGCTTTCATTTTAATTTCCATACGGTTTGTCTAATGATTTACCCAGTGTTATCACGTTGGTAGCGGTAGCCAAAAAAAGAGAAAGGCTTGGTTGTAAATTTTGTTTGTTTTAAAGGACTGTTACGGGCTCTGCAGCCAGTGTTGGTATCCCGCGTGGACCCAGATTCCCGAAAAAACACCATAAATGAAATCATAAGGCGAGCCACGTCGGGAGGGGAATGGCCCCAGGTAAAAACACACAAGGCGATGTTGGGAATTGAGTGTAAGGAGTCCTCTTTCCCACGGGATACTCATGGAACTAAATGTATCACTCCTTTTTTAGCCTCCCAACGCTTTGAACCAAGTTTTACTTCGTGTTCTAAAAAGTAACTCCCTGCCTCTGAATTTATTTTCCTTTGCAAAGATGAGCTGCGAATGCACTGTTGTACTCAACAGGGTGGAGGGTTTATACTAAAAAAGGAATTGAGGTCTTGACTCTTCCCTGAAGTATTTTGGGAGAGAGCTTTTCAGTTTGGGGGGGAGGGGGGTGTCAGAATCACCTGTAGAAGCTTTTCACACTTGACCATCTCATCATCCCCTCCCACTGGAATGAATGCCTTTTGAAGGTGAGGGAGGGGCGGCACTGATGGGATAAAGAGAGCCCCATGGGTGATGCTGGTAAGTATTTCTCTACCTTTGCCCAGGTGAAAGCAGGCCATCGCTAGCAGAACTCATGGCTCTGCAGTGATCTGGCCATCCTTTATGACGTAAATGTTACAGTACCCAGAAGAACGTGGCCCACTGGGAGGCTGTAGAAACCAAAGCATGTGAGGAACCTATATATATATAAAAGCCTAAGCGACTGTTATGACCTAACGACTGGTTGACTAGTCGCTATGACGTGCACTGACCACCAGGGGGCAGATGTCCAACGCAGTAGCTGCTCCCTGGTGGCCAGTGCTCTCCCAAGCCAACCTCACGCAGCAGGCCAACCTCCTGTGGTCCCTCCACCCTGGCCGGCTGGCCCCAATCTTCCCAATACGGACTGGGCAAGATGGCCCCAATAGGGCCTGATGGCCTGCCAGGCTGAGGGACACCACCAGTGCACGAATCTGTGCACTGGGCCTCTAGCGGTTTAATAAAAGTGAATGGGGAAAACTGGCATTTGGAATAAGGGTTTCATTTTTTTCTCTTTGGATCCAAAGAATAGATGTAGGACTGGTAGGTGAAAGTTAACACACAGGTAGATTTCCACCCATTTTGCTCAACTCGAGGAACTTACTGTCCAGAGGTAGAATCATCAGAAACCACATGCAGGGAGGATATGATAGAAAGAGTTCAAGCATTGGAAATGCTAGTTGACTTTTAATGCCCCCTCCAGCCCTGAGACTTCGTGATTCATTGTTAACAGGGCAGCTAGAGAATGTGCGCTGGAGGAATCACAGTTTCTATTTGGATTCCCATTAACAAGATTCCCATTGTCATCGGAATCCAGTTTCTTTTTAAATTGGAGGGTGGAATGGCACCTACTCATCATTTTAATTTTACAAGCCACCTTTTATAGTGGTGATGTAGCCTAATGACGTTTCTCTCCCTAATTATTATATAAAATACTCATTACTAGCTGCGGGGAAGCAGGAATTTTCTGTGTTGTTTTATGTGCGATTTAACTCCTTGCTCAATTCTAAACGCCTCAGAGAATCAGTGAATGGGGAAACTGACTCTGCTGAGTGTCTTTCACAGGGAAAACACCAGGAAGTGTGCTCACAGCTAAAATCACTTCCGCAGAGAGATATGAAGTTGTGTTTCCTTAAGTCGACAAATTCGAGGAAGGACAAAGCATATTTTAAACAACTCACTCCTCCTTTTCCCTCCGGGCCTTTAGCTGGGAGTGATATCATTCAATGGGAGAACTGAAACAAAGAAGTAGGAAGTGAGGTGGTTGAGGGTGTAAGAATGTAATATTGCCTACACATGCCCTTGACCTTGACTTAGGTCTACGGTCATCTTCTAAATCTGTTAGGATCCTACATTATCATCAAGTTATAAGTGTGTATTCTATTCAAAGCTTTAATCTATTTTCTAATTACCTTACTGGTCAGACTACCCTTCAAGTGAAGGAAACGCAAATGCCTGTCATCTGATTCGGGCTTTCATTAGAATCAAGGGTTAGCCTTGGGTCTCATCGATGTCTTGTAAGAATTGGCAGCTGTCTGTGTGGTAATGAGAAAGTGAATAATGAGCTAATCGATTCATTAGGCTGAAATATTAAATCTATTCCTTTTCTTTCAAGATACTAGTTTTCCCAGAAGGTACTTGTACTAATCGCTCCTGTTTGATTACTTTTAAACCAGGTGAGATCAATTAAATTATGTATTGTGGCAAAGTTGTATGGGCGATTTCTCGAATGATTTGATCGTAATGCACCACGTAACGCGTTGGTTTGCGCTGAGCGTTGCTTCTTTTCCGGCAAAAATGTCTTAATGGTGTGAAGCCACAGAATGCACTTCTTTACTTTCTCTTTTGGTATCAGAACCACTTCTTCCTTGGAAAGAAAGAGAGAGAGAACGTGTGTGTGTGTGTGTGTGTGTGTGTGTGTGTGTGTGTGTGTGTGTGTGTTTGAGCAGAACCTACTGGTGGATTTTCCTTTTTCTCCAGGGACGTGGTCACAGGCACTCAGGGTCCTGTGTCATCAGGTGGAAACCTACTTCGATGATCATTATCATGCCTTCTAAGGCTTGTTTAATTTTTTAATATTACCAAGCCATGAGTTTGATAGTAATGTGTAATTTTACAGCACAGGTAATACTTTATTTTTTTAAAATATGTTTTATTGATTTTTTACAGAGAGGGAGAGAGAGGGATAGAGAGTTCGAAACATCGATGAGAGAGAAACATTGATCAGCTGCCTCCTGCACACCCCCTACTGGGGATCTGCCCGCAACCAATATACATGCCTTTGACTGGAATGGAACCTGGAGTCCTTCAGTCCGCAGGCTGATGTTCTATCCACTACCAAACCGGTCAGGACACTTGGTAATACTTTAAAGTGTTTCTGTATTGGCTGCCAGAATGCTCACAACTGAAGTTAAAAACCCACTTTTGTCCCCTATGGTAGTTCTGGCTTCAAGCATTTGGTGTCATCTAGATTCTCTTATTTCCCCTTTGTCTTGATTTTTGCCATGGCTTTGGGAAAGAGAATCCTGCTGAGCAGTAGGTATTTGGAAAATGAAAGCCCATGGGGATGTCAGTAAGGGAATATTTTAAGGGATGGACCCAACGTTCAATACTTTGCTTGCATAATTCTGGGTTTTCAAACTCTCGCGTTTTGGCAAACACGAGGGATTTACCAACATTTTGCAACTAGCTTCTTATGTGTGCTCTGAAAGCATCTGATTCTGTGTGCCGTTTCTTACTCATCATCTTCTCTGCTGTGAGACCTGCACACACACAAAGCCCGTGTAATCAGATTCCATCCTACTCCTAGGCGCCTTCATCCCAGGAGTGCCCGTGCAGCCCATCCTCCTCCGGTACCCCAACAAGCTGGTAAGCACCCCGTTTCCCTGGGCAGAGACTTTCCGACATCCCGACAGCACTGATGCCCCAGGGCCCCTTCTGACCATTTGAGTAACGGTCTGGAGAGAGGAGTGGTGGGAGCAGAGGGGAAGTCTCATTCCCCTTGGTGTTTTGTTTTGTTTTGTGTGTGTTTTTTTAAAAATATTTATTTTATTGATTTTAGAGAGGAAGGGAGAGGGAAAGAGAGAAACATCAATGATGACAAAGAATCATTGATTGGCTGCCTCCTGCACGCCTCCTACTGGGGATCGAGCCCACAGCCCTGGCATATGCCCTTGACCGGAATTGAACCCAGGACCCTTCAGTCCACAGGCCGGTGCTCTATCCACTGAGCCAAACCGGCTAGGGCACTTTGCATTTCTTTAAACTTTTCTCTCAGATTACCCACTCTCCCTCTCTCTCTTTAGGAAAACTGATGTTTTGGGGGGTTCTGTAAGCAAATTTATTGTCCAGATATGTTCCTATTCAGTGGAAAACAGCTAAGCATGCATGATATTTTTTAAAAGCGCTCCATCCACCGTTGTTTAACAATAAGAACGTTCTGATTTTATTTTTCCAACATGACGCTTTTCAGTTAGAAAGCCCATGCCTATCAGTATGGGAATGAGGTTTCTGTTTCCCTTTAGTCATCTCTGAACTAACAGCTTCAATTCTCTTTTATTGTAGGACACGGTGACGTGGACGTGGCAAGGATATACATTGTAAGTCGCTCCCCTCTATTATTGACATCTCATTCTAGTGAAGAAGAAGAAAGATTTTTTTTTTTAAAGACTTGTTCTAAAAGTAAAGATTTCTCATCAGATCCTTACATCTGGTAGCTGACCCGTCTCCGTAGACAGCACCCCTCTCTTGCTCATGAGCCCCTGGTGGCCCATATATACACAATCCCTGCCTTGTCACATTCTGATGGGTCTTTGGGGCTTACCCACCGCCTCTTGCCAACACCCCAGCGACCTAGTTTGCACCTTACATAGCTTTAATTCTGCGGTTCCCTTTCCATTGCTGATTCAGCGCTATCTAACATCTTCATTGCTATTTTACTATATATAGTTTGGCGCCAGTGGCCCAGAGGTCATGCAGGCCTGTGGCCTACAGTGTGAGCTGGGAAAAGAGTAGCCAAGCTTGCAGCTTCGTTCCGGAGGTGAGAAGCGTAGGGCTCAGCACTTTCTAAAAACTCCTCAGAGAGGCGAGAAACACCGTTTGCCTCTTAAGCTGAAGTGAAACGGGCCTTTAACTAGGACGTAACCTGCAGAGTCTCCGTCCGTCCGCGGCCTGTTGATGTTTCGGTGAGAAACGTGTAGAACTGGACTGGAGGGCTTTGCTGGGGGTTTTCCCTATCAGGCCTCGGATACTGTTGTGCACAGAATTCAAGTACCCTTGTTGGTGGACAGGAGGCAGCCCCTGGGAAATACTGAAAAGGAAATCATCTGCTTTCCCCAAGGATCCTCAGGGCTCCCCCTGGGACTGTCCTGTTAAGACAGTTCCCACGAATTTTGGACGTCAGATACTGCTACACCTTCTCTCTCCAGTTTGTGCCCGTGGGCTGCTTTGAAATAATACGTTTTAAAAAATATATATTTTAATGATTTTTTTAAAGAGAGGAAGGGAGAGGGATAGAGAGCTAGAAACATCGATGAGAGAGAGACATCGATCAGCCGCCTCCTGCACATCCCCGGTAGGACAACCAATGTACATGCCCTTGACTGGAATCGAGCCTGGGACCCTTCAGTTTGCAGGCTGACGCTCTATTCACTGAGCCAGACCGGTTTCGGTGAAATAATACATTTAAGTCAGAAATCGTAACAGGTGAACCGGCCTCACCTGTTCCTGTTGATCACCGTGTCAGAGGGATGTGTCCATCTCACACTGCGGTCCTTGAAGCAAGGTCAAGGGCACCCAGAATAAAGGGCTTAAAGGGCATCGAAGACGTGATGTTCCCGCCCGCCCTTCAGGAAATCGGTGTCCTCCTTTGGCTAGCGTAAAACTTGCACCGCGTTGCTGGCTGTGAGTAACTAGGGTTCAGCTTTTTGGCGAGGGAAACTCAGGAGGGCCAATCAGTATGAGAGCATTTTAGAAAAAGACTGAAAGTTGGATGGAGAGTGTATTTCTATTTCCTAGCGTGGGCCATCCTGGGAGCCTCACACGTTGAGTTCCTTAAGGAGCTGGTGAGTTTGGGTTCACTGTTCCGTCCATATAATTATTTTTTTTTTGTTCAGAGTGATGTGAAGGTCAAAGAAGGGAAAGCTTTTCCATCCATGCAGCATTTATAAACCCACACTATGTACGGCGTTTGGTCTGAGTGCTCTGTGTGCAGAGGGGGTTGTTGGGTAATAGTAGGCGATCCTTGTCTCACCGTGTAAAGGGAACTTCTCTTCTTCCTCTTCAGCTTTCAGCTGTGTGTGCTCACCTTCTGCCAGCCCTTCACAAGGGTGGAAGTTGAGGTAAGTCATTCAAAGCGTGGCTGTGGAACTTGAGATTTGGCCTTTTATTTTGAACTAGAGGCTCGGTGCATGAAATTCATGCACAGGTAGGGTCCCTAGGCCTGGCTGGCGATCAGGACCAATTTGTGGGGTGACTGGCAGGGTAATGTGAGGGCCCCTCTGGCATCTGCCTTTGCTGGCCTGGGGCCTGTAGGCTGAGGCCAGCTCCTACATTGAGCATCTGACCCCTGGTGGCCAGTGCACATCATAGTGACCAGTCTTTCTGCCGTTCAGTCTATTTTCATATTAGGTTTTTTATTATATAGGACTAGTGGTCCAGTGCATAAAATTTGTACACGGGGGGTAGGAGTTGGGGGGGTGGGTGTTCCTCAGCCCAGCCTGCACCCTCTCCCATCTGGGACCCCTTGGGGGATGTTTCACTGCCGGTTTAGACATGATTCTCCTCGCCATCTGATTGCCCTCAACTGCCCGCCCCCCCATTGGGCCTACTTGCCCCCAATTGTCCCCCTGCCAACCAGCATGCCCCCAACCACCTGCCTCCCCTGCCAGCCTGCTCATCTCCAACTACCCCTCCCTTCCCCACTGGCCTAATCACCCCCAACTGCCCTCCCCTCCTGGCCTGATCACCCTTAACCTCCTCTGTCTCTGCCTCTGCCCCGCCACCATGGCTTTGTCTGGAAGGATGTCCGGAAGGTCTCCCAGTCTAATAAGCATATTACCCTTTTATTAGTGTGGACTCCTTGTCTACAGAGACCAGATATGCAAGGGCTGGGAGTTAAACCCACCATCTTTCCGATGAGCCCTGTGTACAAATGGTATATCTGAGCCCAGGCGGTCAGGTCTAGCCCTTAGAGATGGATCAGAAAACACCTCTCACTTCTGGGAACCTCCGAGGTGTAACTGGTCTGGCTGGCCAGACTCGCACCACCCATTTCTACGTCTGCGTTCCTGTCATCGCCGTCCTCTGCCCAGTGGAATGCTCACCCTTCACGTCCCGACCGAAGGAGCCACAGAGGCCGAGAGCCCCACAGCTCCTTGAAGAGTAGTGGACTCGGGAGTCTGGGTGGTGGGAGAGGGTCCGGAGCCCACGGGGAGCCCAAGGCCGCCGTATCCGGGAGGCAGGACAGGACAGACGGTCTGTGGGCTGGAGCTGCCGCGGCAGACGGGAGTGGGCGTCATTAGATCATCCTGAAAACCTGACCACAGTTTGTAGACTCCAGGTTGTTCCCAGAAGAATTCTTAGTCTCTGGGAGTGAGACAGGATGGACGCCGGAATTCAGAATCTGCTTGGTTTTACGGGTGCTTTTGGGTAGCCTGTGGAGAGGGGGTCAGATACAGACCTATGTATCTCTCCTGTACCTCCAGCAAACCCAGCAACAGATGTGGAAATGCATGTAGAACTGCTTTTTTAAATATATATATAGAGAGAGCACATGTGTCAGCGGTCAAACTGTGTTACAACAGAGGTATGCAAATTCTCATTCTATTGCCCTGACCATGATTACACATTTCCTTCCTGTGTCGTGTTTGGCTTTCTCTCTCTTTGCCTTTCTCTCTCTCTTTCTCTCCTCTTTCTTCCTTCCTTCCTTCTCTTCCTCCTTCCTTCCCTCCCTTTCTCTTTTCCTTCCCTCCTTCCTTCCTTCTTCTTTCCTTCCTCTCTCTCTCTCTTCCTTTCTTGCTCTTTCTTTCTTTCTCCCTTTTTTCTTTCTGCTCCTTCCTTTCCTTTCTCCTTCCCCCTTTTCCTCTCATCCTCCTTCCTCTCTCTCTGAGTTACAATATTTGCATTCTCCCGGTTCTCAGACTTGTTTGACCTGTTTTGACAATATTTTCTAGCAAAAAAAAAAACAAAACGAAAGAAAGAAAAAAGAAATAGAAAGAAAAGAAAGAAAGAGAAAGAAAAGAATATTTTCTTTATCTAACAACTTCACCAATAAGATGGCTTTTGACCATTAGCAACACCTGCGTCAGCAGGGATTCGGTGTGTGAGGATTGGGGTGCCAGGCACAGATGGGAGCCTGGGACTCCCGACTTAGAATTCTCGTTTGAATGATCTGTGCTTCAGGTCTGCGATGCTACCTTCCACCCAGGGGGCCCCTAACAACCGTATGGCTGGGTATTTTTATTCCCCAGCGCCTGGCTGTAACCGGACACCCCCACCCCCTGGCTCAGGGCTCCCCGGGCTGGGCCGGGCCTCGGAGGTGCCAGCTGGCGCCGCCCCGCACGCAGCTGTGTTGGAAGTCTCGGCTCCTCTAGCCATGCCCGTTCGGTTGCCTTGGCCATCCAGAGGCTCGCCCCTCTCTCCCCTTGTCCTTTAAAATGGTCGGGGAGCCTACCTAGTATTTCTGACACGTGTCTTTAGAACTCCGTCACTAGCAACCGGATAAACCTAAGTCAGGATGTTAGCCGAGCCCGTGTGGCTCAGTGGTTGAGCATCAGCCCGGGAGCCAGGAGGCCGCCGGGTTTCATTTTGCCACTTCGTGCCACCAGGATGTGCCCGAGCAGATGACTTCACCCTCTCTCCAGCTGAGCTCTCACTGTTGACATGGGAGGAACACGCATGTCACAGGGCCGTTGGGGTGTAATGAGGGTGACGCGTGTGCTGGCACACGGCTGGGGTTCGGTGAGCATTCACCCTCGTTCCCCTGAGCACGTAGCTCGCTCTGCTCTTCCTCAAAGGACGCAGAAGGCATTGTTCCCAGGCGCCTCCCTCGTGGTGCCTTCTCTCCTCTGGAAGCCTGGAGGGAAGAACCGCAGACGAACCAGCACCGCCCTTTGGTGAAGACGGACCCGCGAAGGGCATTTTCTGCTCCTTGGGAAAGGATGCGCTTGTGTGACATCGTCCTTCATCCATCTCCCTCCTCCTCGAATCATTGGCTTACGAGGGAGGAATGTGCGGGTGCGGCCAGGAGCAGTGAGGGAACCGGTTCTGGGAGGACCATGTGTGCAGAGCAGGACCGGCTGCCAGTCCGGAGGGCGGGGGCCGTGGCTTACAGGCCGAGGAGTGGACGTCATCTGGGGTGCAGCCCAAGGCCCGGGACCAAAGGTTCTGCCTCCTGCGCACCCCCTACCGGGGATGCCAATCTGGTTTCAGCGGGAGGCGGGGGGGGATGATTTTTGAGAGCTTATCTTCCACCTGAATAGACGAAGGGGACCTAGCCGGTGTAGCTCAGTGGATAGTGCGTCGGCCTGCGGATGGAAAGGTCCCAGGTTCGATTCCGGTCAAGGGCATGTGCCTTGGTTGCAGGCACATCCCCAGAAGAGAGTGTGCAGGAGGCAGCTGATGGATGTTTCTCTCTCACCGATGTTTCTAATTCTCTATCCCTCTCCCTTCTTCTCTGTTAAAAATCGATAAAGTATATTTTTAAAAGATGAATAGACACAAGGGAGGGAGGACGCAGGCCATGCAGGGGAGAGCAGATGACTTTTAGGCCCTCAGAAGCAGAGATGAGAGAGAGTGTGATGGCGGCGGCCTGGGGGTGACACCCGCCTCTAGGCTCCTCTCCTCCGATGGGGGCCAGGCGCCCTGTGCGATGAGTCTTTGCAGGAGGGGGTGTATCACCGTCGGCTTCTTATTGGGGGGCCTGTCTTCAGGCAGACGGGGAGGGGGGTTACAGAGGAAGCCTCGCCCCTGTAAGTGCTGCTTCTCCAGTGGCCTCGGCCCCAGGGAGTCCACACGCCCGAGGGGCCTATGTCCGGGTGGCCTTCATGGCCGTCCCTCGGAAGTGGCAAGTGAAATGCCTTCGCGATGAAACGTGGACTTGCAACCCGAGAAGCAGAGCCAGCGTCGGGCCAGGTCTGAGGGCAGCAGAGCAGAGCGGGCCGGGCAGGGGCCGCCGGGCAGCAGCAGGGACACGCCGTCCAAGCTCCGGAACCCGATCCTCACCCGTCACGGAGACGCGGAGAAAATAGACTCGGGCCGGGACGACATGCCCTGGCCCAGCTCCAGAGCCAAAGGCACACAGGTCTTCAGCAGAAGGAAGACAGACCGGGAACTCTCTCTACGTGGTGGCCGTGTGGCCACCTTGGGAAAGGAACGGGGTTTTCAGGCAGCCACGGGGACCCCGTGGAAGTTGACGTGGATTTGTCGTAGCCTCACCCCCTAAGGTTTTTTAAAAATATGTTTTTATTGATTTCAGAGACAGGAAGAGAGAGGGGGAGAGGGACAGAAACATCAATGATGAGAGAGCAGCGTGGATCGGCTGCCCCCTGCACGGCCCCTGCGTGGGGTGGGGCCAGCAATCCTGGCGTGTGCTCTGCCCGGGAATCGAACCGTGACCTCCTGGTTCACAGGTTGATGCCCAACCACTGAGCCACACCTGCCGGGCATAAGGTTTTTCTTTAGCTTCCCTCGGAGGGTCTCTGCGAGACGGAGAAGTCAGGAGACAGGTGACCAAGGTTTTGTGACCGGCACTGTGGCTGTGGCACGTGGACGTGTCTGACTCCCCAAGGCCAGGGTCGACGGGCAGACAGATGCTGCCGCAGGGGCAGAGAAAGAGGGGTGAGCAGGGCCTGAGAATGACCGCAAGATGCTCGTGGTCCAGGCAGGACCCGGTTGCGGGGAAGCAAACACTCCTAGGCCACGAGGGGAAACTCTGGCTGGAGAGCTTGTGGGAGGAGGAGATGGTTCGTGTCCGCGACAGAAATAGAGTGGGAAATCTCTGCAGCCAGGCGGAGAGGCGGTGAGGTGAAGAGGGCAGATGGGCCATCGGTGTGGCCACGGGGAGGGGATGAGAGAAGGAGAAGGTGACAGGGAAACGGGATCAGGAAGCCGAGGGGGGGACTTAGACGTGTCTCCAGGGACAGCGATGGGTAATAGCCTTTTGGTTCATCGTCCTTCACGAGGGGAGGGGATGGTCATGCTGTGAGCCTCGTGCAGAATGGAAAGGAGCTCGAGGGCCAGGTCTACCCCGGGGAGAGGTGACTTTTTACTAGAATTCCCATTGAATTGCCGCTTCTCGGGAGGCCGGGGGCCCATGAGAGCCACATCTAGGCTTTTAGGTATTTTTTGCTCTCAGTGGATTTTTTTTTTTTCCTTTAGAATAGAATGCTACTCTCTGTGAGAGTTACTAAAACTCGTTTTATGGAAAATACTATCAAGAGAACCAACGCCATCGCTCACTGTATTGTGTGTGGTGAACAGCGAAGCTGCAATTTATTTTTTGTTTTTTTTATTATATTTTTATATATAATATTTTATTATATTATATTTTTATTATATATTTCAGTATATGCTACAAGTCACATGTATGCTATGTAGATGATCCTTTGATTTAAAAGAAACAACACAAAACAAAGAATTATAGGGCAATATAAAACTTCACAGCATTAACCTGTTTTGTTAGAGGTTTTAGGAACGTTGATTGTGAAGCACTGTTTTCTTCCTTGGATTGCATTCTAAGCAAATATTAGCCGTTTTTTAACGGAACAGGCTGAAGGGAATTTTTAGAAGAACTAATTTGCAGACATGGGTGCTCTGGATATATAAGTGATGTGGGGACCTCTGGTGGCTTAGTGTGTTTTTCCATCTTAAGGAATCACTGGATACGGAACAGGAAGCCAGACAGAGGAGTCTGGTTGGAAAGGATGTTGGCGATCCTGCAGTCAGACCTTTCCCTCTGCAGGGGAGGGGACGGAAGCCCACGAGGCCCACAGGATTCCCCAGCAGAGCCAAGGCCACAGGGCTATTTCTGCCCCTCGGAGATGTTCTTTTGTTTGTTTGTTTTTTTAAAAAAATATTTTATTGATTTTTTTACAGAGAGGAAGGGAGAGAGATAGAGAGCTAGAAACGTCGATGAGAGAGAATCATCGACCAGCTGCCTCTTGCACACCCCCTACCGGGGATGTGCCCGCAACCAATGTACATGCTCCTGACCGGAATCGAACCTGGGACCATTCAGTCCGTAGACCGACGCTCTACCACTGAGCCTAACTGGCTTCAGCATCTTCGGAGGTGTTAATAGAATGAACGAGCTAAGTCAAATGACCTGTAGCAGATTATCCTGTCCTTCCTGCCCACTTCTCTGAGACAATCCCCTCGCACCCAAGCGGTGGTCAGCACCCCACTCCCTTTGCCCGTGATCTCACAGGTGGATGCGTGGGGTTCCCCATACCCCTAGCTTCTTCCTCTTTGGCTTACCCACCCCCTTCCCCCAAAGGCCCTGCTCAGAAACTCGGACCTGCTCATGTCCCTCGCTTGCTCAGGCTCCATCTCCGAGCCCCCATGGCCCACAGGCGTCTCATCATGACTCACAAGATGGGCAGATGCGCCTGCGTGAGTCCAGGAGAGGTGTTCGTTACACGAATCTTTCTTTTTATTCCCCTGGCACATGTGTGTGGCTTTAGCTCTACTGTTTAACCTCTTCTGGCCACACCCTTCTCTCCAATGGAAACGGCAGAGCGCACCTCAAGAAATTGTTAGAGAGTTCATGGCATAAAGACGCCAATAGAAAGTTACCAGCACATAGTAGGTGCTTAATGTTTTCAGCACATAGTAGGTGCTTAGCTCATGGTCGTACGTTTCTACCCCAGGACATGGAGAGCTCCTGGAGGTCAGGGACCTCCTTGCCACGTCTTCAGGGATTAGTGTGTGGCCTGGCAGGCGGTAGGTGCCTAAGCATGTTTACTGCATGGAAGTGAGCCATGGAATCTTGGGTCCATCATTTGACTTTTGTGGATCCCAGTTCCTTATGGCTAACATTGGGAGGCTCAGTTGAAATGAAATACTGCACTTAAAGCACCTCGCACGGTACCCGGTTCATTGGTATAATTCTATTGGGGGTGGAATCATGTTTATCCTTCAAAAGCCAAGGTCAACCATCAGTCAGCTCTCTGTGAATCCTGTTTGGCTGCTTTTCCCTGCCCACTCACGGCCAAGTTCACCATTTCCTCTCTCTCACCCTCCTACTCTAGGAAAGATGGTTTCGTGGGGAAAACAAGGGTCTTAGGATCTGACCGACCTTGGGCTGAATCCTGGCCATGCGACCTGCTTTACTTTCCATGAAGCTTTTCATTCACTTATGGGGTCTAATTGGGGTCATGGTCGTGATACTGAGCATACGCGGTGTCGGCCTCAACTATAAAAACTTCTGTTTCCTTTAGAACTCGAATAGGGCCCTATTGATCTTGCCTGATGTATAGTAGGTGCTCAAAACATAGGTTGTGATGTAAATACAGCACCAAAACCTTGCTAACGTTAGAACGCTATTCATAAAAACGAGGATGGCACCAATGAGGCATTCCAGAAGGTCCGGTATAGAAAAAGGCCCATTTAAGTGGCCATAAAGCAAAACGGGGTGTTAAGGAAATGCTAGAAAGCCAATACTAAGGATTTTTTTTAAAGAAAAAAGCAGATGAAATGACAAAACATCAAGTTCCATCAATTGATGAAAATATGGCCCATAGGGGGAATGGATGAAGAAGATAAACCATAAAAGACAAAAATCATCATCATAACCTTCTGGTAGAAGATGTGGGTCTGAGGAGAAGATCTGGTAGCTACGGCTCTCTGTCTGCCAGAATTCCAGACCCCGGCTCATTGTATCCTCACCGTGGCAGAAAAGCAGGCGATCAGAGCCTGCCTTATAGGATCGAGGAGACCGTTCAGAAAAGGTAAAAGAGGTGCTGATTCATACACAGGGAGACCCAGAGTTCCTGATCCAAGCTCTGGGTTCCTGCCACCATGTCCTGTTAACGATATGCTCAAAAGGCAGGGTTCATAGGATGACAGGTAACCTATATACATGAACTAGAGGCCCAGTGCACGAGATTCATGTATGAGTGGAATCCCTAGACCTGGCTGGCTATCAGGACTGATCTGTGGGGCGACCAGTGGGGTGATTGGGGGGCCACTGCTGGTACCCGCCTTGGCCAGCCGGGGGCCTGTGGCTGGGGGCAGCTCCTGTGTTGAGCATCTGCCCCCTGGTGGTCAGAGCGCGTCATAGTGACCAGTCATTCTGTGGATTGTTCCGTCGTTCGGTCAACTTGCCTATTAGGCTTTTATCATATAGGATATCGTTGGCATTTGCTGTCGGAGCCCTGCCCGTTGTTATAAAAAGGTGTGTTTATCTTTCAGTTTATGCCTGTTCAAACGCCGAGTGAAGAAGAAAAAAGAGATCCTGTCCTTTATGCTAGTCGCGTCCGGAATTTGATGGCAGAGTGAGTTATGTCCATATGTGATTATCACCAGTCGATAGTTTGAACAGAATTGGTAAATGACATTTAACATAGTTTTAAGGATTTGGTTGTTTTCTTCCTAACATCCTCCCCTTCTCCCCCCAATTAACTTTGGGAAGTCAAATCATGTGCTTTCCATAAAATGGAAATCAACCGTTTCATTGTTATTGTAGTTAAATCACAAAGCAAGCGCGGTCCGCTGGCAGACGCATGCAGACGTAAGATTGCCGAGGACCTTGACCTCGGGGCCCTAGTAAATCTGAACAAGGAGAGACACGCCTCTTTGGCCATAAGGAGCCAAAGCTACTGTTTAGAAAGCTGGGATTACTTTCCCACTCACCACTGTTGGTTGGCCCATTCGTGCCTAACGGGACGTCGTTACCTGGTTGAAAACTCTGCCTTTGGCTGCTTTCAGGGCTCTGGGCATTCCCGTCACCGACCACACCTATGAGGACTGCCGACTGATGATCTCGGCGGGGCAGCTCACCCTGCCGATGGAAGCCGGGCTGGTGGAATTTACCAAGATCAGCCGGAAACTGAAGTAAGCGCGTTTTAAAGGGACGACGTTTTCGTAACAGTGTCCAGAAGAGATCTGAGTTCCTGTGTGTTTCTTATCTCTGGTTTTATGAAGGCTCAGCTCTGGTGCTTGTCTTTTTGTGTTTTTAGTATGTTTTATTGATTTGAGAGAGAGAGAGAAAGAGAGAGAGAGAGAGAGATTGATCAGCTGCCTCCTGCACACCCAACCCCCCCACTCCGGATCGATCCTGCAACCTGGATCTGTGCCCCGACCGGGAATCGAACTAGAGGGCTTTGGTGCATGGGACGCCACTCAACCATCCAACCTGCCAGGACTCAGCTCTCGTGTTTGTTAGGGAAACCAAGCTTATGCATATATCTCCCCTTTCGTTTTTTTTTATTTTTATTTTTTAGTATATTTTTATTGGTTTCAGAAAGAGGAAGGCAGAGGGAGAAAGAGATGAAAACATCAGTGATGGGAGAGATTCATTGAGTGGCTGCCTGCTGCACGCCCCACGCTGGCGATTGAGCCCACAGCCTGGCATGTGCCCTGACCGGGAATCCAACCGTGACCTCCTGGCTCATGGGTCGATGCTCACTCACTGAGCCACGCTGGCCGGCTCCCATTGAATTCACCCATTTTTGTGTTTTTCAAAAACAGTTAACTCAGGACGGTATGTGCTGGTCACAGGAGACGTGTGGTGTGGGTAATGCTGCCTCCAGACTCCGAGAAGGCTGAGTGGTTGAGGGTTCAGTCCGTCCTGATTCCTCTGTACCAGGAGGACGGCATCAGGCGATGATACGGGCCTGGGCTGGCCAGAATGTCCCTTTCAGAATAAGAACCGACGCGTAAGGTAGCAATTCTGACCATCGCTAGCCTGTTTAAGTTCCCCTAAGACCTGTCTTTCTCTTTGGGCACGTCATTTTTTTCTAAAAAGGTACAAACGCCCCTTCGTGCTCGCACGATCCAGTGTGAGCCATGTGGAAACATGCCTTCCCATTCTCCCTCCAGACTGGATTGGGACGGCATCCGGAAGCACCTGGATGAGTACGCGGCCATCGCCAGCTCCTCCAAAGGAGGGAGGATCGGCATCGAGGAGTTTGCCGAGTACCTGAAGCTGCCCGTGTCCGACGTGCTGAGACAGCTGTTCGCGCTCTTCGACAGGGTATGTGAGACGCGGTCCCTCCCGTGCGGGCGCGCCTGCTCCCCGGGAGCGTGCGTCAGTAGCACAGGTCAGGGTTCGCCCCGGCGGGGCTGAGCCCCAGGGTTAATTGCGTGGTTTTGTTTTCTCGCCTAAATCCCAATCATAAGAATACCTGTGTATGTATGGGTTTTTGTCTTTTTTAAATTTATTTATTTTTATTTGTTTTAAAATATATTTTATTGATTTTTAAAAAATATATATTTTATTGATTTTGTACAGAGAGGAAGGGAGAGAGATAGAGAGTTAGAAACATCGATGAGAGAGAGTCATCGATCAGCTGCCTCTTGCACCCCCCCCACTGGGGATGTGCCCGCAACCAAGGTACATGCCCTTGACCGGAATCGAACCCGGGACCCCTCAGTCCCCAAGCCGACGCTCTATCCATTGAGCCAAACCGGTTTCGGCTTTTATTGATTTTTTAATAGAGAGGAAGGGAGAGGGATATAAAGTTAGGAACATTGATGAGAGAGAAACATCGATCAGCTGCCTCCTGCACATTCCCTCCTGGGGATGTGCCCGCAACCAAGGTACGTGCCCTTGACCGGAATCGAACCTGGGACCTTTCAGTCCATGTGTGTGTCTTGTAGCCGCGATGATGGTGCCTGTGTATTTGAAACACCAGGCCAGGTATCAATATCGCGATCCATAATCATGTTGGTCATATAGCATTGGGAAGGTTTATGTAACTGGCAAGAATTTTAAAATCGCTACCACAACTCACACGTCGATGACCCGCTATTGTATTATGAAGGTTTCTGTATTTCCCTCCCAAAAAAAATGTGTGAAAATCAAATCGAATTTATTTCCTAAATAACATTTGATAACAGAGGTTTCAATGAATGCTTGGCCATTTGTCATCATATTGGGGACACGGTTTATCTGCTTATGAATATGTAGGTACATGAAGTTAGACACCTGAATTGTCAAAAAGTTTCCTTAGAAAAGTGTATCAAGTTCTCTTTAGTTTTTTCATTTCTTTTCAGTACATAAAATTCACTCTTTGGGTTAAGGCTGTATGAGTCCTAACCAAGGCATAGAGGCCTGTAATACCAGCACGGTCAAGATACACAATAGTCACAAAAATATTATCTTGTAGCCAAGCTCTGTCCTGACCTTTAACCTCTGACAACACAGCATCTACCCTTTCGAGTCTGGCTTCTCTCTCTTAGCCTAACGCATTTGAGATTCAGCCAGGTTGGTGCATGTGTCAACCATCTGTTTCCTTTTATTGCCGATCAGTATTCCGTTGTGTGGACTATGGAATACTGATTTACCCGTTTCTCAGCTGACGAACATTTGATTTGTTTCCAATTTGGGGCCAGGACCAATGCCATTGCGCTAAGCATTCAGGCATAAGTTTCTGTGCAAACACAGGTTTTGCATTTCATTCGGGCAAATACTGAGGATTGTGATCTCTTCATTTTCTCTTGTCTGAGGAGGACTTGATTTTTGCATTCATCCCTGAAGAATGTTTTTGTTGCACAAAGAATCCTGAGCCGTTAGTTCTTTTCTTTCAACAGCTCATTAGCGAGGCCCATGATTTCAGTGCCTTCCTGATGGTTCATCTCGTCTTGACTTTCCTCACCACGCCGCTTGCTGTGGCATTGTGCCCAGAGGTGGTTGCCTTTTGCATTTTGATCAGTTACTAGTTGCAATCAGAAGGCGAGATAGACTTAACTGGCTCAGTCCATCCTGACTGGCCTATTCCAGTTCTCTAGCAACCACTGGGGGAAACGGTATTTTGCGAAGAAATTATAGATGGATGCCAGAAACCAGGATGGGGCTTTTAGTCTTTTTTCCCGGGCCCCCCCCCCTGAGCTTCCTAATGACTGTGCTTGGCGATGTCATAGATGAACTATTCTTTAACATCATGAGGTCAGGCTACCTCCTTCTATGGGTCTTGCCCCGGCCTCTTCTGGGCTTGCTTATGTCACACAAGTAATCTTTCCTTGTTCGTGAAATGTCCAATCTCCATTATATTCTACTAGGGTCCCTCGGCCTGGCCTGCACCCTCCCGCAATCTGGGGATCCCTCGGAGGATGTCAGAGAGCTGGTTTCACCCCAGTCCCCACAGGCCAGGCCGAGGGATCCGTGCACCGGGCCTTGAGCACGCATATAAGATTTTTGGTTAATCTCTTCCCACCCTTCCCTGTCCACTTCCTCCTGAGATTCATCAGTCTGTTCCATGTTTCCATGCCTGGTTTCTGCTCCTGCGTCGAGCGTCTGCCCCCTGGTGGTCAGTGTGCATCATTAGGCATATATATATATATATATATATATATATATATATATATATATACACATACACACACACACATATATACACACACACATACACACACACATACACACACACATATATATAGTGTGTGTATATATGTATGTGTATGTGTGTGTGTATACACACACATACACACACTATATAGACTTGTCTGCCACTGCTCTACCGTGTGATGAAGGTTTAGGGGAAAGAACCAGGCCAGGAGGCGTGGCTCAGTGGTTGAGTGTCGACCTATGAACCAGGAGGTCACGGTTCCATTCCCAGTCAGGGCACATGCCCAGGTTGTGGGCTCCATCCCCAGTAGGGGGTGTGCAGGAGGCAGCCGATCAATGATTCTCTGCCATCATCGATATTTCTCTCTCTCTCTTTCCCTCTTCCTTCCTCTCTGAAATCAAGTGAAAATATGCATAAAAAAAAAAAAAAAGATTAAGGGAGAGGGAGAAGAAAACCATTGGCCCTCACTGTGCAGGCTGGGGAAACGGGAACTTGACACTCACGCTATGACTAGTCCTGAGAGGTTTCTATCGTTTGGCTCTAGACACCAGGCAAGGACTTTTAAGTAAAGTTTCTATAAATAGGACAGGAAGGAAGATGGCAGGGACATACCAATAAGGACAGGAGGGGGGGGAGTGGGAAGTGCCATGAAATAGGAACTGGAAAGGGAAGTGTAGAATTAGTGCTCACCAGGATTTTTTCATCAAAATGAAACATCATGTCTACAGAGGTTGCCCTCTCTTTAAGGTGTCACTCTTCCATCCCTGGCGGTGGCGGGGATGCTGGGCCAGCAGTTCTGCCTTTGGATGACGGAGGCCACCTGTCGCCAGCCCCATTGTTGCCATAGCGCTGCCACGTGGGGGAAGACTTGGGAGATGGGAGAGGAGGGTGAGCTGGGGATTAAAGTAATCCCTCGTTGGCCGGGTGGACGCCCTCTGACCCGAAGAGTCCAGCCAGCTCTGGGAGTTAGGAGACGGCGAGCCTCGGGAGCCAGTGTGGTGATCACATTTCTGTGTCAGGGGGCTCCCGTGTCAATTATGACTGATTTTTTTCTTCACTTCTTTGTACGGTGGGACTTGACTTGAGATACAGACCTGGTCTAGGTAGCGCTTGTCCTTTGATCTCCAACACACGGGAAGGTAGAGAAAATAATTCCGGAGAATGACTAGCTGATGGGTCTGACCATCTTTTCTTTTCTTTGTATCCTCTGTCTGTCTGTCCTTCTCTCTCCTTTATATATATGTGTATATATATTTTTTTTAATTGATTTTTTTACAGAGAGGAAGGGAGCGGGATAGGGAATTAGAACCATCGGTGAGAGAGAAATCACCTGCCTCCTGCATATCTCCTACTGGGGATGAGCCTACAACCAAGGCACATGCCCTTGACCGGAATCGAACCTGGGACTCTCCAGTCCACAGGCCGACGCTCTATCCACTGAGCCAAACTGGTTTCGGCGGCTTCTCCTCCTCCTCCTCCCCCTCCTCCTCCTCCTCCTCCTCCTCCTCCTCCTCCTCCTCCTCCTCCTCCTTCTTCTTCTTCTTCTTCTTCTTCATATTTTATTGAATGTTTACAGAGAGGAAGGGAGAGAGATAGAGAGAACCATTGATGAGAGAGAAATATTGATCAACTGCCTCTTGCACGCCCCCTACTGGGGATGTGCCTGCAACCAAGGTACATCCCCTTGACCGGAATCGAACCTGGGACCCTTCAGTTCCCAGGCCGACGCTCTATCCACTGAGCTAAACCGGTTTCGGCTTCTTTCTTTGTTCCTGATATGCCTGCACGTCTGAGCCTGTGCAGAGTCGCTCTGTGTTGAGAAGCTGAGCCTTGTCCCTGCCCCCGAGCTCTGTCCCTGCCGCCCCGCCCTGTCCCCGTGCCCACTTCCACGCTGGGCTTGTTTTCTCAGTCCCTGCAAGCGATTTCGCCGGGAACAGTTCCATGGGGATGACGAGGAAGTTCAGTGGCTTCCTAGTTTGTTTCTCTCCCAGTGGCTTATCTTGCTAAATTCAATGCTTACAGAGGGGAGTGGAGGAGAGGGAGAGGAAGGGCGGGAAAGAGAAAGGGTGGGGTGTTCCTGTTGCTCTCCCGGTAGCTACAGCTGTGTGCAGCGCTCCCGTGAGCCCCTCCCGTGTTCTTTCCCACATTACCTTCTGTTTCCTCTTCTTGTTTTCCTCCCTTAATTAATCTTTTAAAAAGTTTATTATTATTATTATTTTAATCCTCGCCCAAAGAGTGAGGAGATTTTTTCATTGATTCTCAGAGAGCGTGGAAAGGATGGGGGAGGGGGAGAGAGGGAGAAACACCGATGTGTTAGAGACACATCGATTGATTGTTTCTCCACTCACGCACCAACTTGGGGTGAGGGGGTTTGAACCTGCAGGCAAGGTATGTGCTCTTGACCAGGAATCGAACCCGAGAGCTTTTGGTCCACAGGCCAATGCTCTAACCACGGCTCTAGCCAGGGCTCCTCTCAGTCTTTTCCTAAGTCTCATGTAGTCGTGGTAGGTGTTCTGGGGATGGAGGACAGACCTGAATATCCCTCCACATCCCCTTATGTTCTTGGCCAGCCTATAAAACCGTCATCTAGCTTTTGTCTCCATTTGTCCCAAGAAAAACAAAGATGCTATGTATTGAGCTCCTTTTGTCATCCTGACCTGCTCTTCTGGACGCTCGGGTGTTTGAT